GGCTGGCTTCGAACTCATGACCTTTTGGTCAGAAGTGATCTTAATGCAACTGACACTCAGCCAGCTGTGCCACAATCACGGTGCAAAACATGTGCAAAACCATACATATAGACAAACATACATACACGCAAATATATACACACATATATACACACATACACAACACATATACACAGACTGGGCCACAGCAATGCATGGTGCGGAAAACCACACACGTATATATGCAAACTCACATATACACATATACACATATTGAGCCACAGCAACACATGGCAGAGGATGGCTAATAGACTAGGAAGAAATTAAATAAGAAACAAAACCTGATAACAGCAAGATGAAACCGGCTGCAGCATACGATAAAGCCAGAAGACCTAACAGCAGGGCTAAAGCCGTGCAGAGAATGAAACACAATTCACAAAATGGCACAAAAATAAAAAAGGGTGTCATGTAGTACTGAAAAGATTTTAATGTAAGTCCCAAGTGATTCTCTCCGGAGAAAGCATTCCCGCACACCATACCACCATTTCAAAGGCCTCTGTATGTGCGAAGAGGGGAGTTTCAATTTTATCCAAATCCTTTTTTAATTATCTAAATGTGCATTCAGGTGAGGTCATGGCATAGATGTTTTGGAGTGTAAGATCTAGAAAAGGAAGGATCAGTCAAAAGGGGAGTACACATGGTTCCTATATACATGACTTCTAAAACATCCATATCTTCCCCTCTGTAATGCTCTGGAAGCTTGGATCCACTCAAGTCGTGCTCAGACTGAATTCAAATTGCATTGGAGTAAAGCAAAGAGACACTGTACCTATACATTTAATGGCTAGAAAAAATAGAAAAGAAATACAGTAACAAATATAAATGCAAACAGTTTTTACACCCCTTCAATTGAATGGAGATGCAGATCCATGTGCAACGGATCCCCAGACATGTAGAGGAGTGGTTCTCAACCTGTGGGTCCCCAGGTGTTTTGGCCTACAACTCTCAGAAATCCAGCCAGTTTACCAGTTATTAGGATTTCTGGGAGTTGAAAGCCAAAGCATCTGGGGACCCGCAGATTGAGAACCACTGATGTAGAGCATTCAAGACAAAATAAATGGGAAAAGAAGTATATGAAGAACATCTTAGGTGGAAAAAAATCTTACATATCCTTTAACAACATTTTTCTAAAATGAAAATCTCATATTCCTTTGGAGTCTCACATAGTTCATGGATTTTGTCAAGATACCAGTAAATGTAATCTTGTAGGCTACCATGGGAAGAGAGGCAAAAATGCTCTGAAGAGTCTTAAGGTGAGAGACATAAAAGTGTCCACGTGTTGAAGAAAATGTGACGCATTTTGACTATGTAATGATGTGTCATCTTACAAATCCCCCCCCCCTTTTTTTTTTTACTGCAGCAACCCCATAGGCTACCATCTTTCCATTAACCGGTGGTTGTATGGCCCATTTCCTCCCTGTGTGTGTGTGAGCAAAATCCTCTGTAGTGCTGCTTTTGTGGTGCTGGTGCTGCTGCTGCTTCACTCCCCTTAGTGTCAGATGAGGCCTTGGCCCTCGATGACTTGCTTTCTGTCTCAATACTTTTCTTCTCTCTTTCTCCCCGTCTCTTCTCCAACCCTTCTTCTTACCTGCCTGTCTTTCTCGCCTTTCCTCTTCTGTAAATTTCTGTAAGGTAAGCAAACTTTTTGTTGGGTTCTGCCCTGTGGTGGTGATTGAATTTGATGTGGGGGAAAGTTGTTTTAAGAGGTCCAGAAATGGAGTTGTCTTGCTTTGCAGATGGTGTTGGTACTCACACAGATGTGTCTTCACAAAGATCCAAGAAGAGGCTGCTGTAACTTGGAGGGCTTTTTAAAAATTTACGTGTTGCAGCTTCTAAGCATAATACAAGAAACTATACTTTGTTCTTCTAGACACTGCTCTCTCTATAGAATCCAAGTGTTGTACCCTCTGGAGGCCAGTCCCAGCTTCCTTACAGATCCAGATGATGGGCACCCATGGTGTTTTGAGGCCCAGCCTTACAAGATATGACCTGAGCATACTTCCTGGTCCCTCTCAACCTTGCCATACATTTCATTTTCGTCCCTCCAGCTTTTCTGCCATACCATTCTTGGGTCTCTCCTCAGCCAAACAACAGCAACAAACAAACAAAACAAGACTGGAAAACAAAATAGACCAGGCTGAATGAATGCTATTATCTAACTGGATTTTGTGTCCTTCTATACCATACTGTAATTATCCAATTAGTAATTGATCCATGATCCCAGTGTCTGATGAGCCATTTCCACAAATGAGTGTGTGTTTTGCTATGACTTGTTTCAAATGGAAATTCTACATTACGGAGTCACCAAGGGAAAGGATGCATAATGAGACATGGTAGCTTCATAGAGCAGAAATTGTGAAACTAGGAAAGAGGAGTAATTTTAGAGAAGTTTTCTCACAACATGAAGAGAGTAATGCGGTAGCGTCACGGCATTGTCAGGTGACCATCTTCTACTACTTGATTTCTATCAAAGTATCCTCCCAGGAAGCCTGTGAACCTTTGAACTAGAGGACAAACTACTTACAGTGGAGTATAGCTTATCCAATGTTCACTTATCCAACGTTCTATATTATCCGATGCCTTCGGCCTCCCGCCTGGATCCACAGCTGTTTCTCTATGCAGTAATGTGCAGCGGCCTCTCCGCGTGCCGGCGCATGCCGGGAATAACAAGACGCGGCCAGCTCAGACTATTTCCGTTGGGCACAGTGTCAGGCCTGTACAGCTACATCTCACCTTTCTCGATTTGTTGTAAAACATGAGGTTTTGGTGCTTAATTTGTAAAATCATAACGTAATTTGACATTTAATAGGTTTTTCCTCAATCCCTCCTTATTATTCGCTTATCCAAAGTTCTGCTGGTCCGTTTACGTTGGATAAGCGAGACTCTACTGTATTAGAAGATAAGGGTTCCACAGATGACTCCTTGAAATAAGCTTATACTGCAAGTTACTTTGTAAAGAATTGGGAACTGTTAGTACCAAAGGATTGGTTGTGACCATTCTGGAAGATGATTAAATTTGGCGACTAGGGTGACAGAGGGGAATATCTTGTTAATCTATTGCAGGAAGAAGAAAGAAACCAAGCTCAGAAGTTCCTCATTTATTTACTTACAGTATTTATATTCCACCCTTCTCACCCCAAGGGAGACTCAGGGCGGATCACAATACAAACATTCAAAGCCGTTTTCGACATACAAGACATTCAGACAGATAGAGGCCATTCAGCAATTCTTCTACCGGATCCTGGAGGTTACTCAATTCAGCCACAGGAGAAGCCACTATGACGCTGAGCCTTTTTTGATTGTAGGATTTCCTCCTTGCTTTCCGGCATTTTTAAGGTGTCATAAACTAGTCTCTCTGCTTTAAGTGGTCCCTAATTTCTCTACTCACAGCTGTTTTTGAACTGCTTAGGTCAACAGTGAGCGGGGCAATTTTTTTAAACAGCTGTTAACAGTCGGGTGTTCAACCCCGACTCGTGCTTTAAACTTGCCACCTTTCAGTCAGCAGTGATTGATTGCAGCTGATTAACCAGTTGTGCTACCAGCCCAGCCCAAAGACAAATAAGGTTTATTTATCATAATCATTTTTCCATTGATGAAAAAGACCTACAACTTAATTCTACCCCAGAAGCTTGTCAGACAAAACCAGTTAGTCTTTGCGGTGGCACAAGGCTGTTTATGGTTTACAGCAGATATGGGCAAACTTGGGACTGTGGCACAGCTGGCTGGGAGTCAGCTGCATTAAGATCACTACTGACCGGAAGGTCATGAGTTCGAAGCCAGCCTGGGTCAAAGAGAGCGTCCGACCAATTTGTGTAGCTTGCTGTCGACCTTTGCAGCCCGAAAAACAGTTGCATTTGTCAAGTTGGAAATTTAGGTACCGCTTATGTGGGGAGGCAAATTTAACTAATTTACAAGGCCATAAAAATCTCCAGCAAGCATGCAAAGAATGAGGAAATACTTCATCAGTGTCACAAATGGTCGGTGAAGGAATAGCTCCTCTGGTGGCCAAAATACCACTCAAGAAAAGCTGGAATATTAAATTGCCTCTTTATCTGTCTATATATATGTTGTGTGTCTATGGCATTGAGTGTTTGCCATGTGCTCTGAGTCCCCTGCGGGGTGAGAAGGGTGGAATATAAATACTGTAAATAAATAAATAAAATAGATTGGGCTTTAGTGGCTGAGGGGGAAAAGGAAAGGGCCTGAGGCTGTTAGGAATTGTGAGAGTTGAAGTCCAAAACACCTGGAGGGCCCAAAAGTATTCAGTACTTGTTAAGGAAAACTGGAATACGCACATTATATTCTCAATGTAGAGTGTTTACACAAAATTGACTAACGTAAAGCTGATATTTATAAATGTAGATGGGCTGAATGAAAGCAAAAACTGATAATGGTTGGAGTGGGAATGCATTTGCTATACGGAACCAATAAAGTCACATCTGGAGGTTGTTTTCCCCAAGCCTTGCTGATGAGATCTTTTGAGAGCCTATCCAACAGAAGGACACTGCCCCACTTTTATGCAGAATGCCACTTTGTTCAGCTGAACACTGTGTCCTGCAAACACTCACTATTTGGACGGTGCACAGTTGGGACAAACCAAGTTGGACCTTAGCCAGTGGCGATTTGAGACACCGCAACAATCCAAGTAACATCATGTGAGACTTCCGTTGTACAGAAAGCATTGAAATCCTGCAATTGGTTGGCCTGGATTTGGGAAGTTGCCTGTTTGTGGCCATCCATACCTCTCCTTTTTGGCATTGGGGTATATTGAGGCTCTGCCCACTTCCTTAGAACTTGGGATTTCTCCTTTGTTTTCAACTCCTCTTTTTAACAGTTTGATGAGGAAACGGCATTTTTGCAGCTTGTGTGATCCTTTTTGGCTACTTGAACAGCACAGAATATGTCTCAGGACACCAAAAGAGTTACCACTAAAATCTCTTCTTTCCCTCCTTATGCAGCAGCTAAAAGTTTACTGAATAAGAAAGCTGACGGAGTGAAGGTAGGTATCCTTCTGGGGCTTTCCCTAATATATAATGTTGGGGAACAATAGGAAGCTAGGCTTTGTGCCATATTATCATTTTATTCATACAGCATTCCTGTTGCTCAAGTCATAAGCAAGAATAGTCAGATATCATAGGGGGAAGAGTTGTTACCTTTCACTACAGGATTACTTATCTCTCAACTTGGCAGTTAGTTTATCTGCTGGAAAATATAGTTTGGGGATAAGGGGCCTTCTTTTTCTTTGAAAAGTACAATATGAATGGATTCCTTGCTATTTTGTTGAGCCCATTATATACAAAATAGAAAATAAATAGGTACAGCAAATAATATGACTGTTGCAACTTATTATACAGTACTTCTTTTACTACCATTTAATTAATATGTAATTATCATATAGAATATGATCCAACATGCTTTCTTCTATGACAGTGTTTCTCAACCTTCCTAATCCCGTGACCCCTTGATACAGTTCCTCATGTTGTGTTGACCCCCAACCATAACATTATTTTTGTTGCTACTTCATAACTCTCATTTTGCTACTGTTATGAATTGTAATGTAAATATCTGATAAGCAGGATTTTTTTATTCACTAGTCTAAATTTGGCACAAATACCCAATACGCTCAAATTTGAATACTGGTGGGGTTCAGGGGGGTTGATTTTGTCATTTGGGAGTTGTAGTTGCTGGGATTTACAGTTTGCCTACAATCAAAAAGCATTCGGAACTCCACCAACGATGGAATTGAACCAAACTTGGCACGGAAAACTCCCATGAACAACAGAAAATACTGGAAGGGTTAGGTAGACATTGACCTTGAGTTGTAGTTATACTACATGCAGAGAGCACTGTGATATCAAACAATGATGGATCTGGACCAAACTTGGCACATGTTGTGGTGACCCCCAACGATGAAATTATTTTCGTTGCTACTTCATAACTCTAATTTTGCTACTGTTATGAATCATTATGTAAATATTTGATATGCAGGATGTATTTTAATTCACTGGACCAAATTTGGCAAAAAAAACCCCCAAAAACCCATATACCCAAATTTGAATACTGGTGCAGTTGGGAGGGATACTGGTGGGGTTCGTTGTTTGGTTAACCTACAATCAAAGAACATTCTGAACTCCACCAATGATGGAATTGAACCAAACTTGGCACACAGAATTCCCATGACCAACAGAAAATACTGGAAGGTTTTGGTGGGCATTGAGCTTGAGTTTTGGAGTTATAGTTCACCTACATCCAGAGAGCACTGTGGACTCAAACAACAATAGATCTGGACCAAACTTGGCATGAATTCTCAATATGCCCAAATATGAACAGTGGTGGATTTTGAGGAAAATAGACCTTGACATTTGGGAGATGTAGTTCCTGGGATTTATAGTTCACTTACAATCAAAGAACATTCCAAACCCTACCAGTGATACAATTGGGCCAAATTTCCTACACAGAACCTCCATGGTGAAAATACTGTGTTCTCTGATGGTCTTTGATGACCCCTCTGACACCCCCCTCGCAACCACCCCCAGGGATCCCGACCCCCAGGTTGAGAAATGCTGTTCTATGAAATTTGAGTAATGTGAGAGTGGATTATCAGTTGGGAACTGCTTTGGGTTGGCTTCCGTTTCCAAAGTGTCTCTTTTGTGTGTTTGTGTGCTTCTCTTCCTCAGCCTCAGACAAACAGCACCAAAGGCAGTGCCGGAGTTACCAGCCCCAAAGGGACTCTTCCTCCCGCCGCACTGGTACGGCTTTCTAGTACTTTTTATCCCTTGTGGTAAAAATTGTGGGATCATTGAGATGCATACTAGTTTGATAAAATCGTTTTGTACTTAAGATTTGCAGTTGATCTATATGTGATTTAGAATAATACCTGTTCTGTATTGTCTGGCTCTGACATGTTTGGTACTCATTGTGGCTCCCATATTTTGTGGTATTTGCTGCAAGAGAGAAGAGGGGAGGAATCACTGATCTTGAACTCATGACACAACTAGAGTCTTTGTCGTTAGTGTAGTTAGTATCACCAACTTATAACCATCTCAGCCTTAAATGTCTCTAAATGTTTGCACTGTAAGCACTCATATATTGCTGAATATAGTGCATTGCCCTGATCCTAAGTGCCAATTTGGGATCTGCTTAAAGCCAGAGGAAAGAAGTAAGGGCAAAGATTCTTACTGTTTGCGACCACAAACAACAAAAAAGAGTATTGTTGAAGGCTTTCATGGCCAGAATCACCATGCAGCCCAGAAAACACACAACAACCCAACAAAAAAGAGGTCTCATATTGCTTCTTCATATTATTAAATATGGTTTTCTGTGGGTGAGCAGATGGGAACCAATGGATGGCATATGTTCTGTATTAGAAACTAGAGCTGATGTGGTCTATCCAATGCAGTTTCTGCAACTGTGACTCAAAAGTACAAAACTCACCTTTCCTTTAGGGCTGGCAAAGTATTCAATCCATAGGATCATTTGGGTGGTAGTAGCCAGGTATTAGGAATGTTGTGAAATGTGACATTGACATTTGGTTAGACCACACCTGGAATATTGTGTCCAATTCTGGGCACCACAATTGAAGAGAGATATTGACAAGCTGGAAAGTGTCCAGAGGAGGGTGACTAAAATGATCAAGGGTCTGGAGAACAAACCCTATGAGGAGCGGCTTAAGGAGCTGGGCATGTTTAGCCTGAAGAAGAGAAGGCTGAGAGGAGATATGATAGCCATGTATAAATATGTGAGAGGAAGCCACAGGGAGGAGGGAGCAAGCTTGTTTACTGCTTCCTTGGAGACTAGGACGCGGAACAATGGCTTCAAACTACAAGAGAGGAGATTCCATCTGAACATGAGGAAGAACTTCCTGACTGTGAGAGCTGTTCAACAATGGAACTCTCTGCCCCGGAGTGTGGTGGAGGCTCCTTCTTTGGAAGCTTTTAAACAGAGGCTAGAAGGCCATCTGTCAGGGGTGATTTGAATGCAATATTCCTGCTTCTTGGCAGGGGGTTGGACTGGATGCCCCATGAGGTCTCTTCCAACTCTTTGATTCTATGATTCTATGATTCTATGACAGTATGCCCAATCAACAGTTGTTGACATTATAGTATCTACTGAAGAAATAAACAAAATAATATATTTTTCCCCAACAAGCAGCTTACTTTAAAGAAAATATTGTGCACAATAGTCCAATCTTGTTTTGCCGCTGAGCCAATTCATAGAGAGAAAGATGGATATGGATGCATTAGTTACAGATTTTGTTTGCAATGTCAGTAAGGCTGAAGCTAGTAAAGAAAATGCCAGCAAAACTGGGTCCAGTAAATTGTAAAAACTGATTAAAGCAGGCATGAGCAAACTTCAGCTCCCCAGGGGTTTTGAACTTCAACTCTCACAATTCCTAACAACCAGCAGGCTGTTAGTAATTATGGGAATTAAAGTCCAAAACATCTGGAGAGCTGAAGTTTGCCCATGCCTGGACTAAAGTCATGGTTTATTGGACCAAGAAGGCAAGTGTTTCCATTTTTCTTTTCTCCCTCCATTATTTTATATGTAATACCAGAAATTGCACGTGGTTCAGCTATAACAGGAAATTGTGATGTACCACATTAACAAAGTATTATAGAATGTGAAAGAATGGAAGAGGAAAGAGAAAGAGGGGCAGCACAGTGCTTGTTCTTATCATTGTGTCCAAATCTGACCAATATAAAAATAACGCAGATCTAAGTCAGAAGATTGTGTTTTATAGGGTCAAATCAACATAGATATAGTTCCATATTAAATAGTGGCACAGTAAGTTAAACCCTTGGGCTGGCAGGACTGCTGACCGAGAGGTTGACTGTTCGAATCCGGAGAGTGGAGTGAGCTCCCATCTGTCAGCTCCAGCTTCTCATGCAGGGATATGAGAGAAGCTGCCCACTGGATGGTAAAACATCCCAGTGTCTCTTGAGCAACATCCTTAAAGACAGCCAATTATCTCTTGAAGTTTCTCGTCGCTCCTGACACATGCACACACACCCCAAAATTAAATAGTTCCACTGCTTTGGTAATGACACTCTAAGGCAGGTAACCAAGTGAATATTGAACTGACTGCTCCTTGAACAAAATATATAAGTAAGGGGACTTCTTATATGCAACGTACCTCCCCAGTCTTTCCCAGAATGGGTGCCACCAAGAAGACAAATTATCTGTTTACTTCCATGGACAGAGTTATTTAGTCCACAAACCAACTGTTTTGTGACTTGCTTCACTTGCAAATCTCTTAATTTGTTAGATAACAAAGCCTAGGTTGGTAGGTTTTCTATGCTCTAGAACAGTGGTTCCCAACCTGTGGTCCATGGACCATCAGTGGTCCCCCAGAATGAAAATATGGGCCACGATCTGACCATTGCTACACCATTGCCTTGAAACCTCTTGGCAACAAAAGTGACTGTTCTCGCAAAACCCTCTTATAGTGTCGAGGCAACATGGATGTCAGGAAGGGAGAAGCTGACTATCCATAAAAGATTACTACTACTACATCAGCACTAGATTATTAAATATGGTTTTCTGTGGGTGAGCAGATGGCAACCACTGGATGGCATATCTTCTGTATTAGAAACTAGAGCTGATGTGGTCTATCCAATGCAGTTTTCTGAATCAGCACCCCAAATAACCAAACCGAATTTAAAGTTGATCAAAAACCAATTTGTAACCCTTTTGGTACTAATGTTGGAGAGTGGTCCCTGGTCAAAGTGGTCCCTGGTCAAGTAATCCCTGGTCAAGTAGTCCCTGGTCAAAGTGGTCCCTGGTCAAGTGGTCCCTGGTCAAAGTGGTCCCTGGTCAAAATGGTCCCTAATCAAGTGGTCCCTGATTAAAGTGGTCCCTGGTCAAAGTGATCCCTTGTCAAAGTGGTCCCTGGTCTAGTGGTCCCTGGTCAAAATGGCCCCTTGTCAAAGTGGTCCCTGGTCAAAGTGGTTCCTTGTCAAAGTGGTCCCTGTTCTAGTGGTCCCTGGTCAAAGTAGTCCCTGGTCAAAGTGGTCCCTAGTCAAAGTGGTCCCTGGTCAAAGTGGTCCCTTGTCAAAGTTGTCCCTGGTCAAAGTGGTCCCTGGTCAAAGTGGTCCCTGGTCAAAGTGATCCCTGGTCAAAGTGATCCCTTGTCAAAGTGATCCCCGTTCTAGTGGTCCCTGGTCAAAGTAGACCCTGGTCAAAGTGATCCCTGGTTAAAGTGGTCCCTTCTCAAAGTGGTCCCTGGTCAAAGTGGTGCCTGGTCAAAGTGATCCCTTGTCAAAGTGATCCCCGTTCTAGTGGTCCCTGGTCAAAGTGGTCCCTGGTCAAAGTGGTCCCTGGTCAAATGCTCCCTGGTCAAAAAAGGTTGGGAACCACTGCTCAAGAATTATCAGATTCCTAAAAGTAGGAGTCACATAGTGATGTATGTCATAGTCTCTGACATATCCAGTTGTTTACCATATGTGCCCATACATAACTCCTTCTGACAGCCCATTAAGGAGTAGCCCAGTTGTTTTGTCTCTGAAGAATGAACTGGAATTCTTCTAATGCTTATGTCTTAATTTATAAACCAAGCACTACATAAGGTGACACCAACCTTTTAAGATTAAGAATAGTTGGAAGACAGGAATAGAGGATTTCCCCAGAGAACATCTATTTCGAAGTGTTCTTCTTGAGTGGGATGTGTTGAGCTGGTATCGCTCGTCACTTGCCGAACACAAGCATAAGGTCACTGTGATAATTAAATAATGTGCATTTAGAAGGAAGCAGGATTTGAAGTGCTGCTCTGATAGATCAACTTTAATAGTTGCCCTAGTTTCTTGTTCACACATAGACTCAACGGAGGTGGGGGGAAACTCCAATTAGGCATTTCTGCCGATCTGCACGTCACAAGAAGCGAGGGCAGCCATCTCGTCTTAGAACTTCATCCTGTCAGTCCTTGTTTACTTTAATGTGGGTCATAAACACAGCCATCTGGGTAGATGCGAAGCATTCCAGTCGGTGACATTTTGTTTCTGAACTAATGCTGCATGAGAAAACATAGATATCTGTCGTAGTCTTAACAAGCTTGAGTTCACATTGTTGATTTTTTTCCAGTGAGAGCTGTCATTTTCCATGGCTATTAGATGTGCATGTGGATGTGATCAGTCACATTTGGGAATCAGTGGTCAGCATGCTCTCCTTAGAAGGTTGGTTGGCTCGAGTGCCACCCAAAATAGATTTTATTGATGGATTTTTGGAAACAAATCAGATTTTCATTATCTTTTATGTTGTATCGTCTTTCACTATCTTCATGCTGTACAACGTGGCCAGTTTCTGATATTGTCCTACTGCAAATTTGACTTGGTTGGTTCCTTTGATCGCTATTGTTTGTTTCAAAAGCATGTTGTGTTAGTCTAGAGCAAGCATGGGCCAACTCTGGCCCTCCAGGTGTTTTGAACTTCAACTCCCACAATTCTTAACAGCCTACCGGCTGTTAGGAATTGTGGGAGTTGAAGTTCAAAACACCTGGAGGGCCAGAGTTGGCCCATTCCTGCTCTAGACACTTATGAATCATGTTTACTCCTTCAGTATGCAAAAACTTGCAATAGTAACAAATGTTTTATAAGTGATTTGATTTGTTTTGGATCTAAGTCAACCTGATAGCCATCCAACAAGGTTGCTACAACCCAACCTTTCTCTCATTTGTGGTAAAAGACTGTATAATCATCACAAATGATTTGATTTTATGTTACTATAAACACTGACAATGTTGCCTTAGTAGACTAGAATGATTCCTCTGTTGCATTCTTATCCAAGTTCCAGATAACAGGTAAGTTGCACAGTTAATTTTTCTAATCACCTCTTACATAGTTATAGGAAAGCACTGGGAAGCTGGAGCTGACAGAGGGAGCTCATCCACACTCTCCCCAGATTCCAACCATCGACCTGTCGGTCTTCGGTCCTGCCGACACAACAGATTAAACCACTGGTTCTCAAACTATGGGTCCCCAGATATTTTGACCTTCAACTCCCAGAAATCCTAACAGCTCGTAAACCAGCTGGGATTTCTGGAAGTTGTAGACCAAAAAACCTGAGGGGCCACAGGTTGAGAACCAGTGGATTAAACCCTTATGGCAGCAGGACTGAAGACTGACAGGTCAGAGGTTTGAATCCGGGGAGAGTGTGGATAAGCTCCCTCTGTCAGCTCCAGCTCCCCATGCGGGGACATGAGAGAAGACTCCCACAAGGATGGTAAAACATCAAAACATCCAGGCAGATGGCCAATTATCTCACACCAGAAGCGACTTGCAGTTTCGCAAGTCGCTCCTGGCACACATACACACAAACAAACTGCAAATTGAGTACTTCTAGTTCCAAATGCTTCCTACAATTTCAACTCTCGTATTTTGTCACAAGTGAATTAAGTATGATCCAAAGGGATTAGAACTGCAGGAAGAGTTTTCAAACTTTTAGCAGGCAACATCGAACACCTTATAAAGAACCTCATGCTTTCTGCATTAGCAGAATGAGATGTGCATGAGGCTAGCATTCGTTTTCTCCTTGCCCAAAGTTAATCCATTTTTATTTGACATATAAGATGGAGTCTATCCCATTTCATTGCTTTACCATTCCTACAATGGTACTTAGTAGCAGGTAAAAAATATTTTTTGTGTGTGTCAGGAGCGACTTGAGAAACGAAGTCATTTCTGGTGTGAGAGAATTGACTGCCTGCAAGGACGTTGCCTAGGGGATGCCCGGATGTTTTGATGTTTACCATCCTGTGGGAGGCTTCTCTCATGTCCCTGCATGAGAAGCTGCAGCTGACAGATGGGAGCTCATCCTACTCCCTGGATTTGAATCGCCAACGGTCAGCAGTCCTGCCAGCACAAGGGTTTAACCCATTAACCTTTTGATCGGCAGGATTTTTCTGCAGCACAGCGATTTACCCTGCTGTGTTAAGCCCGACCCCATGTGGAACAGCATTTGGGACAAAAAAGAGCACTAATGGACCCCCCTCATAGTACTCCCCCAGCACCACTTTCTGAGGCCCCTTCTGCACTGCTATACAAAATCTAGCTTATCTTCTTTTCTGGATTATGTGGTAGTGAAGACTCATATCATCCAGTTCAAAGCAGATAATAGATAGATAATTTATTGATTAGTCCTCTAACCATATCAGCAGTAAAAGATAGACAAGTATACAATAATGTGGATTATCTGCTGTGATGATCTAGATCAGTGTTTCTCAACCTTCCTAATGCCGCAACCCCTTAATACAGTTCTTCATGTTGTGGTGACCCCCAACCATAAAATTATTTTCGTGGCTACTTCATAACTGTAATTTTGCTACTGTTATCAATCATAATGTAAATATCTGATATGCTGGATACATTTTCATTCACTGGACCAAATTTGGCACAAATACCCGATATGCCCAAATTTGAATACCCCTGGGGTTGGGGGGGGGGGATTGATTTTGTCATTTGGGAGTTGTAGTTGCTGGGATTTATAGTTCACCTACAATCAAAGAACTCCACCAATGATGGAATTGAACCAAACTTGGTGCACAGAACTCCCATGACCAACAGAAAATACTGGAAGGGTTTGATGGGCATTGACCCATCAATTTGTAGTTGTAGTTCACCAACATCCAGAGAGGACTGTGGACTCAAACAATGATGGCTCTGGACCAAACTTGGCACGAATACGCAATATGCCCAAATGTGTACACTGGTGGAGTTTGGAGAAAATAGACCTTGACATTTGGGAGTTGTAATTGCTGCGATTTCTAATTCACCTACAACCAAAGAGCTTTATGAACGCCACTAACAACAGAATTGAGGCAAACTTCCCACACAGAACCCCCATGACCAACAGAAAATACTGTTTTTTATGGTCTTTGGCGATCCCTTTGACAACCCATTGCGACCCCTCCAGGGGTCCCAACCCCCAAGTTGAGAAACACTGATCTAGATTATGTGGCAGTGACAGTGTAGAAGAGGCCTGGGTTTGCCGCCCCCCTCCCCTAACCCAGAAGGAACCCATCTACTGAGGTAAAGTGCCATCTCAACAAGGTGACCCAGAAAGGTTGGATGATATCAAAAGCCACCAACAAGTTCAGGAGATATTTCCCCTCCCATCCCATTCTCTGCATATGTCATCCACCAAGGCAAACAAAGCTGTCTCTGCCCCATAACCAGGCCTTAAAACAGATGGGAACGTGTCTCAATAATCCATTTTATCCAAAAATCCCTGCAGTTGAGAGGCCACCCCATGCTCCAATATTCAAAATGAGTGCTTGAATCCTCGTAGGACTCTTTGGGCATTCTTTTTCCTAGCATGTTAATGTCCCAGAAAGAAATAGGGGTTTGGAAAGATCGACAAGTAGTTTAAATTACTGACTACAATAATAGTGCCAAGAGAATAAATATTTGTTCCTCTAGAGAAACGGGGCTGAAAACTGTTTTTGACGGCACAAAACGAATGCCCTTTTCAGTCCAATTCACTACATGTCAATTGAGAGAAATCTTGGCTTCGTCGAAGTCCTACAAGCCAATCTTTCCGTGACTTCAATAGCTAAGCCCTCTTTGGCACATTAAATACTAGGAAGTAGTGAGTGAATGCAACAACTCAAATTAGTTCTATAAATAAGAAAAGCAATTGTAGAGTTTGAAATATGGGACTTCCATGGCTTATATAGTTTTGGTATTGGCTTTGTTGGCCAATATCAAAACTATGAGGGTTATCCAGAAAGTAAGGTTACAAGGCACGTAGCTCTCACAGGGAATTTTATTGGAGGAAGTTGGTAGCACTACCGTGTAGCAGGAAACTAGCAGAAGTGACGAGCAGTGCCAGTCGTCAGTAGCTCATCAACTGGCATTATAGTGAAGCATTCTCATTCCATATTCTACTAAGTTGAAAGTTTGCGCTGTATGAGGGATATCCGGAAAGTAAGGTTACATTTAAAAAACAACAACAACAAAGAATGAATATCTATATAAATAAAAATGTAATGTTAGTTTGTGGGATTAGCATAACTCAAAAACCACTGGACGAATTGACACCAAATTTGGACACAACGTACCTAACAACCCAATGTATGTCCTTCACTCAAAAAAATTGATTTTGTAATTTGGGAGTTGTCATTGCTGGGATTTATAGTACATCCACAATCAAAGAGCATTCTGAACTCCACCAGTGATGGAATTGAACCCATCTTGGGACACAGAAAACACTAGGAGGGTTTGGTGAGCATTGACCTTGAGTTGTAGTTCACCTACCTCCAGAGAGCACTGTTGTATGTCTATGGCATTGAATGTTTGCCATGTATATGTACATTGTAATCCGCCCTGAGTCCCCTGCGGGGTGAGAAGGGTGGAATATAAATACTGTAAATAAATAATAATAAATAAATAGTCTTTATATGCATAACCCAGTGGGAAGTTCATCATAGTGTGTTTTCTTGGGCAGACCCTTGTCTTTGAGGTAAGTACAACCTTTGAAAATCTTTTGAAAGTATGACAAGTGTTTATGCCACCGTATGGATGCACAAAGGTAAGACTTGTCTGTACTGAAGAGGCAAATGAGGTAGGCAACGGAGCACCATGGATCAGGGTCTTCTTTTAGTGCAATAGACATTTATTTATTCTGTTCTCATCAGTCATGTGACCCGATCCGGCAGAACCAGGGGAAGCAACCAAAAGGCCTTCTGCTTTTTCCTTCTTCCCTTTGATACCAGGTTGAACCCATATTCAGATGATGATAACCCGGGTACCGATTGGTCACACCTCCTTGGGGAATTAATCCTTGGCATTTTCTCTTCCCTAGCACTCTACCATTCTCCCAATGGCAGTAATAATGATGATGATGATGATAATAATAATAATAATAATAATAATAATAATATTTTAGGGTTGAATGTAGACCTCAGCTTGCGCTCTCCATTTCCAAGGAGCTCACTGCAATCTCGTCATGGGTTGAATATGATTTTTTGGTTTCATTCATGGAAAATCTAGTTTTGATTCTTCTCTTCCTGATTTACTCTGCCACTTTCTGTTTGTTAATCATTTGCCTTTTGCTGAACTAATTGCCTTTTGCTTTTTTCCCCTTCCATTCTGTTGCCCCTTCCCTGCTCTTATGTGGGTCTTGGTCTTTCTTCACCATCTTCTCCTTTTTTTCACATTTTTATCGCCATTTTCTGCTCCATTCTCCCCTCCTATTCTAACTGCCACCTCTTTATTTTCTTTTCCCTCACCATTTCTTTCTCTTTTTCGTTTTGTTGTTCCTTGGTTCATCCTTCCTTCCTCTGTAGGAACCTCAAACCACCGTTATCCATAACCCAGTGGACGGCATTAAGGTACTGCTGCCTGTCTTTCCTTCTCCTCAGTTTGCCCTTTTGTGATCTGGGATAAAAATTGACTTTTCTGCTCCTTGCATTGCTGTGTAATTTCACCTCTGGGGACAGACTGTAGGCTCAGGTTTTGCACCCCTCCCCTTTACGTCCACCTGAAATCCTGTACAGCTGAATCCAGACCATTTGCCTACAGTTATACATATTTTGGGAAGTGTACTTCAAAGAACCCTGACTTTCCATGGGCAAAAGGCCACTATACACCAAAAAGTGATACAATTATATAATAATAAGACTGAATATTGTATCTATGCTATAGTACTACAATATGCAAAGTATTAACACCTTGTACAAAGTATACTTAACCTCGATTCACAATGCAAATCTCTAAACCAAAACAAATCCCTATAAACAACTAATTCCAGCAGCAAAAATGCACAAGTTTGTGAGTCCTTTTTGAAAATCAAAAATTTAAAGTTTGTAACCCTTTTTTGCAAGTCTCTTCATCACAAACTTCTTGATATGAGCTAAACAGCTGATTCCTACAGCAGAATGCACGGGTTTGTACAACCTTCTTTTTTTATCCAAAGTTTGTCAACAACCAATCTGAGTATGTTAGTCCTTTTTTGGAATCCACAGTTTAAACCACAACTGATTTCAACTACATTGAGTCTTCCTCAGGTGGTAGTTGATGCGTATGTATTCCCTGTAGGTCCACGTCACAGTAGAGAGTTCTTCGAGAACAGTAGAGAGTTCTTCGAGTAGAGATAATATACTCAACAATGTAGAGATAATATATACATGTTGGCATGTATATATTATCTCTACTCAAAGAACTCTCTACTGTGCAAAACTGATTATTTGAGGATTTCTACATTTGCATCTACTATCATCTGAGGAAGACTCAACGTAGTCGAAACAGTTTGTGGTTCATAAACTGTGGACATACTCGGATTGGTTGTTGACAAACTTTGGTTAAAAAAAGGACTTACAAACTTGTGCATTCTGCTGTAGGAATCAGTTGTTTATCTCATATCAAGAAGTTTATGATGAAAAGACTGGCAAAAAAAGATTTACAAACTTTGCTTTGTCATAGATAAATGTTTGATTTTCAAAAAGGACTCACAAACTTGTGCATGTTGCTGCTGGAATTAGTTGTTTATCCCATATAGGGAATTTTTTGGGTTAGAGATTTGCATTGTGAATCAAGGTTAAGTATACTTTGTACAAGCTGCTGGTACATTGCATGTTGTAGTACTATAGCATAGATACGATATTCATTCTTATGATTATATAATTGTATCACTTTTTGGTGTATAGTGGCCTCTTGCCCTTGTACTTTGGGGACTCCTTTCTCTCTATTGTCTTCCTGGACCAGTGGTTCCCAACCTGTGGTCCGTGGACCACCAGTGGTCCGTAAGAACTAAAATATGGGCTGCGGCCTCACCATTACCACACCATTGCAACGAGGGCAACTGGTCTTGAAAAACGCTCTTATAGTGCCGAGGCTTATTAAATATGGTTTTCTGTGGGCAAGCAGATGGCGACTACGAAGTGGCATAGGTTCTGTATCGGAAACTAGAGCCGATGTGGTCTATCCAATGCAATTTTCTCAATCAGCACCCCAAATAACCAAACTGAATCTAAAGTTGAACAAAAACTGATTTTTTTTTTTGGTACTAATGTTGGAAAACGGTCCCTGGTCAAAAAAAAAAAAAGTTTGGGAACCACAGTCCTAGACAAGCAATGTATGTTAAAGGACATAGAGTTGGTTCTCTGGGAGGCAGGTCATTTCCTTTCTCTCCTCATCTTTTCACTTTGGCTGGATCTACACAACTAAACAATTTAACCACATTGAACTGGAATACATGAGTCTACACTGTCACATAATCCAGTTCAATTCAGTTAAACTCCATTATATGGCAGTGTAGCTCCAGCCTTTCATTAGTTTTAGTCACTCAGTGTCACAAGAGTCAGCATTCTTGGGAGAACCAGAGTTTAAACCAGGGGTCCTCAAACTAAGGCCTGGGGGCCGGATACAGCCGGATACGGCCCTCCAAGGTCATTTATCCGGCCCTAACTCAGGGTCAGCCTAAGTCTGAAACAAATTGAAAGCACACAACAACAACAATTCTATCTCCTTGTCCAAAAGCAGGCCCACACTTCCCATTGAAATACTAATAAGTTTATATTTGTTAAAATTGTTTTTCATTTTAATTATTGTGCTGTTTTTAAGTGGTTTTTTGCACTACAAATAAGATATGTGCAGTGTGTATATCATTCATGCTTTTTTCATATTATTTTCCAGCCCTCCAACAGTTTGAGGGACTGTGACCTGGCCATCTATTTAAAAAGTTTGAGGACTCCTCGTTTAAACTCTCTCCGTCTGTTATGGATGGGAGATTAAGAGTGTTGTGACTCCTCTCCTTGAAGGGTTTCGCACTAATCATTCTCAGGCTGATTGACACAAGAGACAAAGAGTGCAAATAGTGATCTCGACTCATAACTGGCATTATACTTGCTGTGAAAGTGTGAGGAAGTCCTTAGCGCCTGGGCCTTTGGCTCTGGGTGACCGGGTGCAGATGGGAGCCCCTACTCTGGCCCCAGAGGAGCGAACCAGAGAGCAGCGGTATTGAGCTCCTTCATTCTGAAGTGAAAGAACGCAGCCAAGGCAGACCAAAGAGCCCAATCCAAGAAGTCGGATTGGCTGAGGATTGACAGATTGACTCCATGCCACAATCATTCATTGCTCGGACACAGCCCTTTCCTCCACCCAAACCTGCATTTTCTTACCCATTCTCTGCTACAGGGATTTAATTTTTGTTACCATTGTTTTTATGCTTCCTCTTCAAGCCCATTCTCTCAGTGCATCCAGCATAGCTTTTAAATGGAGCTTGGGGAAGATAAGCAGTCACAAAAAAAAGTTTGGTATGAAAACACTAATCACAAGGTAGAGATCAGGCAAAAAATAACAACACCTGCATCACCAGTGATGCCTTCTTTCTGTCTTTCTTTCTGCCTTTCTTTCTGCCTTTCTTTCTTTCTTTCTTTCTTTCTTTCTTTCTTTCTTTCTTTCTTTTACCACCATCTGGATAGAATATTTTCTGCTTTAGATGAATAAAGAAAACAGATATTAGTATAATTTTACATATATTTTGAAAAAAAATTAAATGATATCTTGTGAATCAATATCAAAGTTGTTATATTTGGTTCAAGAGCATGGCCATCATCTGGATAGAATATTTATTATTTTGGGTGAATAAAGAAAACAGATATATTAGCATAATTTTACATATAATTTGAAAAAAATAAATATTATCTTGTGCATCAATATCAGAAAGTTGTTATATTTGGTTAAAGAATGTGGCCATCATCTGGATAGAATATTTATTACTTTGGATGAATAAAGAAAACAGATATATTAGCATAATTTTACATATATTTTGAAAAAAAATTAAATGTTATCTTGTGCATCAGTATTAGAAAGTTTTTATATTTGGTTCAAGAATGTTTGGATCTTATGTTAAGCTAAAACATTGGAAATTTCATGGTGTTTCCTTGTCAGTACAACATATGATATGAATACCGTCTTTAACACAGGTTCATATAGTAAGTATTATTAGCACTGTGTGAAAGTAGCATAGTCCTGCAGTCTTTTTTCTAGATGGACATAGAGAGGACATAACAAAATTTATCTTCTGTTGATACTAACCGTTCTGGTCTAAGAAAAGCTTTGTATGCTCTTTTGTGCTTGAGCTGTTGACATTATTTTACCCTTCAGCTGGATAATAAAACACAAATAGGCGAATTTCAGAAGAACAAAGGTGACTTTTGCTTTGCATGGTTAAAGCAAAAGAGAAAGAGAAGCCCACTAATAACAGTGCAAGTCCTTCAACATCCCTTCCTGCAAAATAAAGTGACAGAGTCATGATCATCCTGCAGATAATGGACTTCATGCAAGGCACCCAAAGGAGTTGCTTACGGTCAACTCTCTGCTTTTCATGCCTCTCAAAAGTAACAGTTCTTAATTGCTATTTACAGGAGGGATGACACAAGTTGCTTTATTGCAAGACCACAGCTCCATAACTATAAATGTAGCATGAAGGTTACACCACAAAAGGAGGGATGTTATCTTCCATTGAGTTACGATTCTAAAATATTGACATTTCTCATAACCTCAGGTATGAAACTTTAGTGTGGAGCGCGGGGTCAGCTAGTTTTAGTTGCTGTATTACTATCTTTACAAATTGTATAATAACACATGTTGCTGGAAAAAATAAATATACCGTAGAGTCCCGCTTATCCAACATAAACAGGCCGGCAGAACATTGGATAATCCATGACCTGACCAAACCCGGCATAAAATGCCCTTGGAAGCACTTTATCTTACCTGCTAGTGCAATGAAACCCTACTTTTGTCTCTCGGATCCCCTGTCCAGATACATTACATTGCTCTCTCACTCAGTGTTTTTAATCTTTTAATCTTTGCAGCTGGCCCTGCCCAGTGTAATCATTTTTTTCCCTTTATGTTCAGTTACTGTGTTTTTATATTGCTTGATGTGTTATTTATATTGTTTCTTTTATTTATTTTATTTCTTTATATTTTTCTGCTGTGTTCTTATGTTGTTTATCTGCATTGCTGTATTGTTGGGCTTGGCCTCATGTAAGCTGCCCTAAGTCCCCTTGGGGAGATGGTGGCAGGGTATAAATAAAGTTTTTTAAATTATTATTATTATTATTATTATTATTATTATTATTATTATTATTATTGGATAAGCAAAAATGTTGGATAATAAGGAGGGATTAAGGAAAAGCCTAAATCACATTTTGATTTTACAAATTAAGCACCAAAACATCATGCTTTACAACAAATCAACAGAAAAAGCAGTTCAATACATGGTAAAATGATGTAGTATTTATTTATTTATTTATTTATTTATTTATTTATTTATTTAGAGCATTTATATCCTGTCCTTCTCATCCCCGAAGAGGGACTCTGGGCAGCTTACAACAAGCAACTATTAGATGCCAAACAGTACATTAAAATACACAGTTACATTTAGAACAGCAATTAACAATAATTGTAAAGATTCAGTTTAAAATAGTCCCCTGGTTCAAAGTCATAGTCCAGGTCAGTCCATTGTGGTCACTTAAAACGTTCTCCTCCTGGTTGCTGCATCTGCTACTCAAATGCTTGATCCCACAGCCAGGTTTTAAGTTTTTTACAAAAGGCCAGGAGGGTAGGGGCAAACAAATTTCATTGGGGGGGGGGGAGTGCCACAGCCAAGGAGCCACCACGGAGAAGGCTCTGTCTCTCGTCCCCACCAGTCACACCTGCGAAGGTGGTGGGACAAAGATCTTAACATCCCTGGTGGTTCATAGAGGGAGATATGTTCGGACAGGTAAACTGGGCTGGAACTTTTAAGGGCTTTATAGGCTAAAGCCAGCACTTTGAATTGTGCTTGGTAGCAGACAGGCAGCCAGTGGAGCTGGTGTGGCAGGGGGGGTTATACACTTCCTGTACACCGCAACCTGGCTGCCATCCGTTAGACTAACTGGAGCTTCCGAGCAGTCTTCAAAGGCAACCCCCATAGAGTGCATTGCAGTAATCTATTTGGGATGTAACAAGAGCATGGACCACCGTGGAGCCCCCGGTGGCGCAGTGGGTTAAACCCTTGTGCCGGCAGGACTGAAGACCAACAAGTCGTAGGTCCGAATTCGAGGAGAGGTGGATGAGCTCCCTCTATCAGCTCCAGTTCCTCATGCGGGACATGGGAGAAGCCTCCTACAAGGATGATAAAAACATCAAATCATCCGGGCGTCCTCTGGGCAATGTCCTTGCAGACGGCCAATTCTCTCACACCAGAAACGACTTGCAGTTTCTCAAGTCGCTCCTGACACGACAAAAAAAATGGACCACCGTGACCAAGTCAGACTACCCAAGATACAGGGGCAGCTGGTGCACAAGTTTTAATTGTGCAAAAGCTCCACTGGCAACTGCCAAGACCTGGGATTCCAAGCTCAACTATGAGTCCTGGATCAGTAGTATTTACCAATCTAGCACCAAAACATCACAATGTATTGAAACAGCTGTGGATCAGCACAGGAGGCAGATTTCCTTGGATAATACAGAATGTTGGATGAGCGAAGGTTGAATAAGCGAGACTCTATTGTATAGATAAAATTAATCTTGAGGAGATAGGGTGGCCTATAAATAATTAAATTATTATTATTATTAATATTATTATTATATTATCCTTAGTTATTAAGCAACAGGATTACTTTTGCCCAACTAGTTACTTACAAGCTCTGTTTATTTTGGAGTTTTTCTGTCTGGATATAACATCTATTTAAATGTCTGATTAATTGGGAAGGTGCACATCTGCTATTCTGTATAAACTAGAAGTGTGTGAATCTGTTCTGTTTTCATCCCCCCCCCCCCCCCCCCCTGAAAACAGAAGTGGGAGCACCCAAAAACAGAATGGATTCTGAGCCCCTTCACACACCCCTAGTAGAAACTCACTCAGTAATTCCCAATTCTTTTTCTTTAGAGGTTTAATTTGGTACAATTCAATAAATAGAGTGAAATGTAGTGGAATCCACAATGCATGGATGACAGTTGGTTTTATGAAACCCATGGGTAAGCATCAAGACCAGGCACTTTTGCGTTTGTTCATGAGCTGATGCTAAGTCTCCTTTTCCAAATGATTGAGGGGATGAAGAAGTGTCCAAATGGAAGAGTATTTGGAGAGTGCCTGACCCTCACCTTTGTCATCAATAGCATCATAATCAAATTGAGTGGGGTTTCTGAAAACTTTTAAGGTTTTACAACCCAGCCGTTTTGAGTACAAATGAGTTTATTTATTTATTTATTTATTTATTTATTTATTATTCAAATTTATATGCCACCACTCCCCTGGGGCTCGGAGCGGCTTACAAGAACTGGCTAAAATCTAACACAAGTTTAAAACAATTTAAAACAGTTTAAAAACAGCAATATCAAAAAATCAAAGGCCTGTTGAAACAGATATGTCTTACATGCCCTGTGGAAAGCTGATAAGCTTAAGGAAAGCTTAAGGAAAATGGTCACAGAAACATGGGGTTTACTTTCTGCTGTATTTCTCAGCACTGTAGTTCAGAGCATTTAACTTTATGATCATTGGAAGCCTTTACTGACACATAAATATATTGTCAGCACAGAACTGGACATTCTTGGGAGTAAGAGGAGTTTTAATGATACATTGCCGGGGAAGAAGAAATGTATTGCTATTATAAGCTATGATATTTCAGCCTGTAAAGTAGAATGTTGGATTGTGTTATTGTAGGTTTCAGATGAGTAGCCCAATGTCTACTTCAGCTAGCTCAAGCATGGGCAAGCTTAAGCGGCTGAGGGGGAAAAGGAAGGGGCCTGAGGCTGTTAGCAATTATGAGAGTTGGGGTCCAAAACACCTGGAGGGCCCAAGTTTACCCATGCCTGAGCTAGAAGATAACCACATCTGAGCAGGCATGGGCAAACTTTCTAACTTATGGACCGCACACTAGCATTTCCTGCTAAGAGGACTGGCTGCCCAGTGGTGGAAGGAAGGAAGGAAGGAAGGAAGGAAGGGAAGGAGGAAGGAATGAAGGAAGGATGAAAGATGGAAGGAGAAAGAGGGCGAGAGGGAGGGAGGGAAGAGGAAAGGAAGAACCAAAGGGGGGGGGGAGGAAGAAAGGGAAGGAGGGAGGAAAGTGGTAAGGAAGGGTGGAAGGGTGGAAGGGAAGAATGGAAGGAGAAAGAGGGAGGGAAAGAAGGGAGGGAGAAGAAGGAAGGAAGGAAGGAAGGAAGGAAGGAAGGAAGGAAGGAAGGAAGGAAGGAAGGAAGGAAGGATGGAGGAAGGGAAGGAAGGAAGGGGGAAGGGAGAGAAAGAGGAAGAAGAAAAAAGGGAAGGAAGGAAGAGAAAGCGGGAGGAAAGTGGGAATGAAGGAAGGGAGGGAGGGAGGAGAAAGAGGGAGGTAAGGAAGGGAGGTAGGGAAGGAGTAAGGGAAGAGAGAAGGTAGGGAAAGAGGAAGGAAAAAGAAAAGGAAACGGAGGGAGGGAGAAAGAGAAATATGAAGGAAGGAAGGGATGGAGGAAGAAAGGAAAGAGAAGTAATGAAGGATTGAAGGGTGGAAGGGAATGGAGGGAAGGAAGAAAGAGAAGGATGGAAATACAAAAGGGAAGGGAGGGAGGTGAAAGGGAGAGAGGGAAGGAGGGAGGAAAGAGGGAAGGAAAGAAGGAAGGATGAAAGGATGGGAAGGAAGGAGGGAGAGAGAAAGGGGGAGGTAAGGAAAGGAGGGAAGAAGGAAGGAAGGAAGGAGAGAAGGAAGGTTAGAATAGGGAGAGATAGGAGGGGCTGAGAAAAGAGCCCAAGGGCCTGGGTTTCTAGGTGGTCCTAAAAAGCTAAGCTCTGGTACATAAAGAGTAGCAAAACGGTTTTTTCCTTTACCTACTACATCATTTGTGGCGCTAGTTGTGAGATTTGGGCCCTTTAGAGCAGTGTTTCTCAAACTCTGCTCCTCCAGGTGTTTTGGACTTTAGCTCCCAGAAATCCCAGCCATCTTACTGGCTGTTAGGAATTGTGGGAGCTGAAGTCCAAAAGTTCTAGAACAGGGATCTTAGACAATTTAACAGAGGAGATGCACGTATTTTCAGTTTCAGAAGCAAAGAAAACAAATGGGTGAGCCAACCAGATTTCTACATCCCACCTTTATGTAGTAGTAAACTAGAACTAAATTCCCCATACTTTGTTTCATTTATAAAGAGAAACACACACTCTTTCACGGGGAATTTCTAGATGTTCCTTCAAATGAGAAAACATATTAAGTGTGGTTCAAAAGAAGAGTTATGAAGTTGTGATATTTTATTAAAAGATAAGGATTTGAGGCCATACTGACATCTCAAAGTGAATGTCCTCTCTTTAGTAGAATGTTTTTTATAGCTTTGACATTACCTGGATTTAGAAATGCCACTCTTAGAAATGAAAAGGCCTGATGAAGAGTGACTTCTTTGTTAGATGCAGGTCTTTTGAAATGAAGTTGAGCCATCCCTCTTTTGATTTCGACCCTCTTTAGCTACAAGTCCCTGTTCTGCAACTTCAGCCTCTTCTCAAGCCGTCATTTCCAGAAAGAGCCACTAACATTTTGGTCTTTTTCCCCCCTCCTTCTTCCCCTGTGTCTTTCTACAGGAATCATCCGACAGCACAAACACCACCATAGAGGATGAGGACACAAAAGGTAATGGTCTCAAGTGGATATCCAGAAAATCAAACTATTGTGAGATTAAAAGCTGTTAACAGAAAGCAACTTGCACTATCTTGGAAACTAAGTAGGGTCAGCCCAGTTAGGACTTGGATCATTGCGGATGTGCAGAGTGCAAACTGCATCAAGTGGAAAGCGAGCAGGCAGCTGCTATTGATAAGATGAGGTTGTTGGCTGGCACAAAGCTTGCGTACAGTCACTGCCATTGCTCAGCCCCGCATGGCACAATATCACCTCTATCCACCTCAGGCGGAGCTCCTGGAGCAGCAGCGGAAGTGGAATGGCTCAGCCCTGTTCTCTTTTCTTCTGCAGCCTCTGGCTGTGGCAGCTTGAGCTGCTCAGCTATGTTTGCGACATAGGGTTCAGAACTTAGCTGGCTGTGTTCGCACCGAAGAGTCAGACCGGTATGAAGAATAACAACAAGGCAGGGGCAGAAGAGGGAAGGGAAAGAGGATAGAAAGAAAGATGTTGGGAACTCTGAGCAGCATACTCATAGATACTGTGTGTGTGTCCGTGTGCATGATGTAAAAGGCATAAGATAGTCCTCATAGGACTGGTGAGTGACCATGGGGATGGCATCTTGAGCTACCACAATGTGTAACACCAGCCTGTCACTGGATGGGAAACTTCCAACAAACACCAGATACTTATTTGTATTTATTTCATATCAAAAGCATTGCATAAATTAGTATAAAACTGATAAAAATAGAAGGCTCGCAAGCGGCTAAATATCTTTTGACCAAAAACGGGCAACAGCATTGTCTGCAGCTTCCAACAATTCCTCCTCTGTACATGAGGCAGGCATAGTGGACAAGTATACAGGTGCAGAGTTGTCTGTACATGAGGCAGGGCATAGTGGACAAACATACAGAGTTGTCTGTACATGAGGCAGGGCACAGTGGACAAGCATACAGATGCAGAGTTGTCTGTACACGAGGCAGAGCATAGTGGACAAGCATACAGATGCGGAGTTGTCTACATGAGGCAGAGCATAGTGGACAAGCATACAGGTGCAGAGTTATCTGTACATGAGGCAGGGCATAGTGGACAAGCATACAGATGCGGAGTTGTCTACATGAGGCAGAGCATAGTGGACAAGCATACAGGTGCGGAGTTGTCTGTACATGAGGCAGGGCACAGTGGACAAGCATACAGATGCGGAGTTGTCTGTACATGAGGCAGGGCATAGTGGACAAGCATACAGGTGCGGAGTTGTCTGTACATGAGGCAGGGCATAGTGGACAAGCATAGAGATGTGGAGTTGTCTGTTCTGCTCCACAGTCACACAAGGTTTGGGATTCTTTTAGGTAGTGCCATTTTGCCAGGTTGTCTTTTGATCTGCCCACTCTGCTTCTGAGTCTATTCAGGGACTTCCAAATTGCCCATTCTTGGTTTGCCCCTGAAGGAAGACCCAAAAGCATTGCTTTTTAAAAAACAAGATGCTGTAAGCTATATTTCAGATGATGGAACTGTGAGTATTTGTTGCCTAAGATAAATTTATGGGATTGCCACATGTCGACAGGTGACTTGAAGGCACACACATTCACAGCATTTCCAAACTGTGGACAAAGAGGAGCTAACCCATTGAGTAATCTCAGGAACCAGGTTTCTGTGTGTGTGTGTGTGTGTGTGTGTGTGTGTGTGTGTGGTATATTAATCTAAACCTTCTAGATCAGTGGTTCTCAACCTGTGGGTCCCCAGGTGATTGGGGCTACATCTCCCAGAAATCCCAGTCAGTTTACCAGCTGGTAGGATTTCTGGGAGTTGAAGGCCAAAACATCTGGGAACCTACAGGTTGAGAACCACTGGTCTAGATCCTGACCCATCTTTAGAGATCAGTGTTTAAAGTATTGAGAAACCTCTTCAAGCTATATAGCAGGCATGAGCAAACTTCATCCCTCCAGGTGTTTTGGACTTCAACTCCCACAATTCCACCAGCCTATATCATCAGGGAGCCCCCCCCCCCCCCCCGGCACCAACTGCTGCTCTGGCCAGAGTGAAGACAAGTTCCATCTTGTCTCCTGTGCTTTACTTATTATATTATATTATATTATATTATATTATATTATATTATATTATATTATATTATATTATATTATACAATATAATATACTGTATATACATATAATATTATAACGTAATACAATTTAATACTACTAATAATAATACAATATTATAATTATATATTTTATATTACATGCAATATTACTAGTCATATTACAATATAATGGTGTAGTACAATATAGTGAAAAGGGTGGCATAGAAATGTCGTAAATGAATAAATAAATAAATACATTCCTGGCCTCAGACTCTTTCCTTTTCCCCCTCAGCTACCTAAGTGGCTGGGGGGGAAGGGCCTGGAGCAGTTAGGAATTGTGGGAGTTGAAGTCCAAAACACCTGGAGGGCCCTAGTTTGCTCATGTCTGGTGTAGGTGCACCCATAGTCTCCATTGGCACTGGGTCTCTAGCTAATAAAGGATAAAGCATCCCTGATAATCTGGCCATGGGAGCAAAAGAAAAGTCATGGAAAGAATGGAGGGGATGCCGACTCCACTTTGGTGTATGTCAGGTCAATAGTATTTTCAGTAGGAAATAAACTGCAAAGGGACGAGACAACCAGAAGCAGCACTATGCTTGGCACCAAGGAAGCAGGAGGCAAAGACTCGATTGCCATGTGATCCTAGTCTTTCTAGACTCTAGAGAAAGTAAACTGAGAAACAACAAAAGCATTCCAAGATGTAGCTCATTACTAATTCTGTTAGTAAATGATACGTCAGAATTGAGTCTGGTTAAGTTACGGTGTGAGCACGGTGTCCTAAATTGGTCTGTGGCATTGTTCTGATATTGGCCTATTTATATTTTATAATCACACTTTAGAGGTGTTCCGTTACTCCATCTCCTCTTCCAGTTCTAAAGCATTCAGAGCAAACATACATTGAAGCAGTTCTGTAGCCTAGTGGGGAAGTTATGGAATTGCAAGTATCTTGAACATCAGTGTAATTATTACGGTAATAGTGGGTTGTTGTGAATTTTCCAGGCTGTTTTAGAAGCATTCTCTCCTGATGTTTCGCCCAGGCATCCTCAGAGGTTGTGAGGTCTGCTGGAAACTAGGAAAATGGGTTTTATTTATCTGTGGAATGTCCATGGTGGGAGAAAGAACTCTTGCCTGCTTGAAACAAGTGTGAATGTTGCAATTGGCCACCTTGAGTAGCATTTCTCAAGGTCTGGCTGCTTCCTGCCTGGGGGAATCCTTTGTTGAGTACGGTAATCGTTGAGCTTGGAAAGGTTATGTTTTTGGACTGCAGATCTTAAGTTGAGATGGTCAGAATTGTACTACTAGGGTTGAATAAAAAGTAATGCCTCCACCTTCGTAACACCTCAACAGATGGCAGTACGGGTATGCGGCAGGTACTGGCTTGTTCAGTAGACTTTTCTCTACAGTTCCATTTTGGTGGGAAGCCTTAGCATTGAACGGTTGTGTTGTTAAAGTGTGAAGTATGGAACCCTATGCAGACAGTCGGTCAATGCGACTTACGCAACGTGCAATCATTGAATTCTTGACAGCAGAAGGTGTCACCCCAAAGGAGATTAATCAGAGAATGCAAACCGTTTATGGTGATTGTGATGATGTGAGTACTGTGCATCGTTGGGCGAGTAAGTTTAAAGATGTTGAGATGAGAACATCTGACTTGTGTGACAAACAAAGAGTTGGACGTCCTGTGACAGCAACCACCGAGTTTCACAAGCAAATGTTGACAAATTGATTCAGGACGATCGTTGTATCACTCAGAGAGAAATTTCAAGCATAATCGGCATTTCACAGGAACATGTGGTCACATTATTGCTTTGCTTGGCTATCGGAAGATCTGTGCACGATAGGTTGCGGAAACAGAGTGTCGACTTCTTCTGTGATAGCTTCAGAAAACTTGAACATCGTTGGTAGAAATGTATCGAATTGTCTGGTGATTATGTGGAAAAGTGAGTAATGGTAGTTAAAGAGCACATTCTAAGGATTATTTCTGTGTTTGACTTATTAAAATATTACCATCCAAACCCAAGTAACAAAGGTGGAGGCATTGCTTTTCATTCAACCCTCGTAGAAATGAAAAGGATGATGTATATGCCATGGTCTCAACTTAGTTCCTAAGTCGTTGGATGAGCTGTGCATATCGCTTCATCTTGGTACTTCCCTCTCCCCCTTAATTTGTTTTTTTTTTAATAATTTTTTATTGATTTATCACATTTATTACATATTATTACATTTTGTACATCAACCTCTTTAACATGTTGTTTTGTTATTTTGCTCTGACATTTCCCCCCCTTTTCTCTTTTTTTTCCCCTTTTTTTTCACCACTGTGCTCCCCTCCACCCGTCTCAAGCCACCATTCTTACATTTCATCTGTCCAAAATTTCATTTCTTCTTGTGACGGTAATTTTCTTTCCTTATTTTTTAATCCATTTACCACAAATCTTCCCCATACAGCATCAAAATCGCTTTGTTTCCATATACCTTTTTTAACCTTTAATATACATGTCAATTTATCGTTTATTGCTATTTTCCATGCTTCTTTATACCACTCCTCTATTTGTATATTCATTTCTTTTTTCCAATTCCTTGCTATAAGCAGTCTTGCTATAGTTAGTAAGTTTGTTATCGCTTCTTTATCCTCCTTTTTCAATTGCTTATTGTTATATAATGATAGTAAGGCTATACTAGGACTTTTATCTATTTTTATATTCATTATAGTTTCTATTTCTCTAAATACTTTCTCCCAAAAATTATTTACATATTTACATTGCCACCACATGTGTATATATGTTCCTGGTTCTTGACACCCTCTCCAACAATTTATTGAGTTATTTTTATTCTTACCGGTGTCAAGTACCACTTCCATATTAACTTGTAATAGTTTTCTTTAACTATTTTTTAAATGTCTTTGTCCCCATAATTGTTGCCACTCTATTTCACTTATTTTTATCCCTAAATCCTCTTCCCAAATCTCTTTAAGGGTGCACTTTTTTGTTTTTTCATCCTTCATTTCAATTAATATCTTATAAATTTTGCTAATTATACCTCTCAAGTTTTCGTGTTCTTCTACAGTCCTTCCCTTCTGTATTATTTGTTCGAATTGATTGAGTTGGCTTCCACTTCTATTATTTTTTCCAGTTTATTAACCATTGTTCTAATTGTATACAATGAAACCATGACAATTTTATTTCTTTAAACTCTTCCAACATCATTTCCCTCTTCATTTCCACCTTCATCCAATCCCCTATCCTATCTAAATTTATTTCCCTTACCTTTTTATCCATTACTTTTTTTAAAATTTTTTGGGAACTTCTTTTCCATCACTATTGGGGTTATAATTGATCCCTCCTTTATTAACCTCCCCTTATATTTATTCCATACTTTCAGTATGTTGCTCAGCATTGGGTTTCTTATTTCCCTCATTTCTTTTCTAGTAAACTGTTTAAAAAATATATTCCAAGTTTCATCTTCCACTTTTCCTGAATCATTACTAAGCCAATCTATTCCCTCTTTTTTTAACCATTCCTTCTATAACCAAACTTAATCTACTTGCTTCATAATATTTTTTTATATTAGGTAGCGCTAGTCCACCCTCTTTTTGCGATCTGTACCATAACTGTTTATTTAGTCTGTTTCTTTTACTTCCATTACAGTACTTATTAATCATTTGTTGCCATCTAGTTAGTTCTTCTTCTGTAATTTGAAGTGGTAGCATCCTAAATATAAAATTTATTTTTGGAAGTATTTTCATTTTTACTAATGCTATTCTTCCAAACCAGGATAAGCGTATACCTTCGTACTCTATTAACTTTTTCTGAACTTCTTTCCTTAATGTTACTACATTTACTTCCTCTATCTCTTTTAACATGATAAGCGTATTGCTTCGTACTCTATTAACTTTTTCTGGACTTCTTTCCTTAATGTTACTACATTTACTTCCTCTATCTCTTTTAAATCCTTAGTTATTATTACTCCCAAGTATTTTAATTTATTCTTAATTCTTATTCCCATTTTGCTCTGTTCTATAAAATCTTTTTCTTCTTCTCTTGTATAATTAAGTAGCATCATTTCTGACTTGTTCCAATTAACTTGTAAACCTGTTGCTTTCCCGAATATCTCCAAATGTTCTTTTATTCTATCCATTTTCTCCACTATATTTTCTATAAATAACAATGTATCGTCAGCGAATAAGCTCACCTTCTGTTTCTCCTTTTTTCCTAACCCTTCTAAATTTTTATCATTCCTTATGTTATTAGCAAACAGTTCTATCACCATAGCAAATAGTATCGGAGACAAAGGGCACCCTTGTCTGGTTCCTCTAGTCACTTTTATTTCGTTTGTCACTCCGTCATTTATAGTTACCACTGCTGAGTTCCTTGAGTAAAATTGTTTTAGTACTCCTTTTATTCTATTTCCCATTCCAAATTTATTCAATATTTCCCTTAATGTCTCCCATTCCACACAATCGAACGCTTTAAAAATATCTAATGATAATATCCCTGCTTTTTCCTTCCCCTCTTTAGCCAAATAAATTTTATTTAATACTCTCCCTATCAAATTTGACATTTGTCTTCCTTTTACAAATCCTGCACTGATCTTCTTTTATGTACTTATACATACATTTATTCATTCTATTGGCTATTATCGTGGACAATATCTTTGCATCCTGATTAATTAATGATATGGGCCTATATGACCCTGGGTCTGTTAAGTCTTTATCAGGTTTAGGTATTAATATTATTAATGATCTCCTCCATGATTCGGGTATTTTATCTCCCTTCATTATTCCATTATACAATTTGTAATACGGGTTGATAATACATAACTTATCAGAATAATGGTATGTAAACAAACATCTTTGAGCAATGTGATTTGTTCTGCAATGTGATTTGTTCTTTTTCTCAGGCTAATCCTCTAGTTAGCTGTCCTGTTGCTGCCTTTTTCATGTCTCCATCCTTTTTTCTTTCCTCATTAATGTATATTCTGCTTTCCTGTCCTCAGTTTCCTCTTTTCTCACACCCAAGTTGCCTTTTAAATAATCTTTTACTTTCTTTACATGTTTTTATTTTCTTTCTTTCCTTTTTCCATCCATTCTCACCTATTCTCTCCAGTTAAGAGCACTGATAATGAGGTTGTAAAAAGCCATGTGAATTTAGGATCTGCCCCTGAACTTCCTCCAAATCCGCAGACATCTTTGATGCCCTCTGCTGCCACTGCTGCTATTGCTGCTGCCTGTAAGTCACAAGGTCCCTATATTACCCATTTCTGCTTTCCCTCAGTGTGGATGATACTTGGCAATGAATAAGCCTGGAACCAAATACAGATGCAAGAAAAAAAATCCATACTTCCATCCTACACAACCACACATGCATCCAGACTTAAGGATGTCCCTACCACTCCTTTTCTTTTTTATGTAGCAGAGGAGGGGATCAAAATCAGCAACTTCAGAATTTTTTAATGTATGTGTCAGGAATGACTTGAGAAACTGCAAGTCACTTCTGGCGTGAGAGAACTGGCCCAGGGCACTGCTGGATTATTTATTTATTTATTTATTTACTGCATTTCTATGCTGCCTTTCTCTGCCCGAAGGCGACTCAAGGTGGCTTACGCTGGCACGATTTGATGCCACAATGAACATAAACAAAATTAAAACAAAATTAATGTTGCACTCCAGGACAGGAAAAACCCTCTGACTTTAAAACACCACACATTGAATAGGGAAAGCAATCCTTTTATTGAAGATAAGTAAAAACAGCAAAGTTAAAAAACACTTTAAAGGAATAGGCAAATCCAATTAGGTAAAAAGATAAGCAGGAACAAATTAGTCTAAGGTAGAGTTCAGCAATGTCCAAAAACAAAGTTCATAACTCTCTAACACAGTGCTTCTCAACCTTGGGTCCCCAGATGTTTTTGGCCTACAACTCCCAGAAAGCCCAGCGAGTTTACCAGCTTTTAGGATTTCTGGGAATTGTAGGCCAAAAACATCTGGGGACCCCAGGTTGAGAACCACTGCAAGAACCAGGAAACGTTGATCTAGGCATGAGCAGGTAATCACAAGAGACAAAAAACCAAACCATAAAACAAGAAATCCTTAAAAATGAATCTTCCAAGCAAGAACTTAGCAGGATTCTAAACGATGCTTCATCTGGCTATATTTTCCATGCTTTGAACTTTTAAGCCTTTCCAAGCACACAGGAACTGCTTTCGCTTTCCTTGAGTGGCCCTTATCTTTTTCTGTTGGAGCCTGGCAGAACGACGAAGGCATTGCTCGGCCTGTCTGTTTTGACTAATTTCCGCCTGCCTATCTATATGCTCATTAGTTTCTGCAGGTGCCGAGTTGTTTTCAAGCCCCAAATCCTGGGAACTCTGGGAGCAATTCAGGTAGTAAACCATCATCCCTATACCCTGTAAGAACATTCCCATGGGAAACTACACTTTGAACAGATGTTCTATGTTATTCTCTGCATCAATATCAGTGACCAAACCTTTGCCATCTTGAACCTCATTTACATCATTCCTTACATCCAAAGCACCCTGATCCTGAAACACAATCGCCGGCTGAACTTCAACAATTAAAAACACTTAACACACATTATAAAAACCTTATAATCTCAAGCATTAAAGGCATAAAACAGCAGCAACTTCCTATTAGCTCATTTTCCAAAGACATTGTCAAGCAATTCCATGTTCATTCTTTCCTGGGTTCCATATGCATTATTTACACTGTGTTTTCAAAGGCTTGTTCAAAAAGCCAGGTTTTTAATTTTTTTTCCAGAATGTCAGTAGGAAGGAGGCCGATTTAATATCCCTTGGGAGGGAGTTCCATAGCTGAGGAACCACCACTGAGAAGGCCCTGTCTCTCATTCCTGCCAGGTGTGCCTGCAACAAAGGCGGGATTGAGAGCACGGCCTCCCCAGAAGATCTTAAATTCCTAGCTGGTTTATAGGGAGAAATACGTTCGGACAGGTAGGCTGGGCCGGAACTGTTTAGGGCTTTATAGGCTAAAGCCAGCACTTTGAATTGATGTTTTACCATCCTTGTGGGAGGCTTCTCTCATGTCCCTCATGGGGAGCTGGAGCTGATGGAGGGAGCTCATCCATGCTCTCCCTGGATTCGAACCTCTGACCTGTTGGTCTTCAGTCCTGCTGGCACAAGGGTTTACACCATTGTGCCATTGGGAGCTCCTTTAGATGTTAAACTAACTTCCCATGACATCCAAACTCTTTAAAATTTAGGTTGTTTAGCCTGTGGTTTGAGAACATGCCATAGATACAAGCTTGGCTTGTTCTCAAGTTACAGCTATAATGGCCCAGTTTATTCAGTTCATATATCACAGGTACGATTGTTGAAGCTTCTGATCCTCTCTTCTGGCTTGCAAGTGAGAGGCAGTGTGTGGGACAGAAGCCTTATCTACATTGCCATATAAAGCAGTTTGGGACTGCATCATATGGTCATTGTAGACTCATATAATGCAGTTAGCTGCAGTTAAACTGATGGCCCATTTGTTCTGAGGAATAATTCAGAGAGACAGAACTGAGTAAATTGATTATTAATAGCATTGGCCCCTAATAATATAAGACCGCATTTGTATTTACCGTATTATTATTTATTTACTGTATTTGTATCCTGCCCTTCTCACCTCATAGTGGACTCAGAGTGACCTTACAATAGGCAACAATTTGATGCCTTATCAAACAAATAATAATAAAATAAACATGTACATTAAAACTAAAAATTAAAAATAATAATTAAAAACCACACAGTCCAAAATCATAGTCAAGGCTATTCCAGTCATAATTGCACATATTCCGTCTTCTCTTATTGCACTGCACTTCTACCCAAAACTTGGTTCCAGAGCCTTGTATTCAGCTTCTTTCTGAAGGTCAGGAGGGAAGGAGCTAACTTGATTTCACTGGGGAGGGAATTCCATAGCCAAGGGGCCATCACTGAGAAGGCCCAACCACACCTGCGAAGGAGGTGGGACCTAGAGCAGGGCCTCTCCAGACTATCTTAATCTCTGAGATAGTTCATAAAGGGAGATACTGTCAGACAAGTAAGCTGGGACAGAACTGTTCAGGGCTTTATAGGGTAAAGACAGCACTTTGAATTGTGCTCAGTAGCAGACTGGCAGCCAGTGGAGCTGATGCAACAAGGGGGTTGTATGCTCCCTGTCTGCCACTCCAGTGAGCAACCTGTCTGCCACCTATTGGACCACAGTCTTCAAAGGCAACCCCACGTAGAGTACATTACAGTAGTCTATTTTGGATGTAACAAGAGTGTGGATCATGGTTTCATTCATTTCAGCTAAATTGGTCTGGACCAATTGGTAACCATAAATACATAATTAAGAGTGCAATTCATGGTTTCATCCTTTGGTGGAGAAATTTTTGATGTGGCTGAATGGGCACTTTTATCATATCTCATATCCTTGTTTCTTAATCCACCTTTTCAGTTTTTTTTCCATTCCTCTGTTATTTTCCCATTGTATTTGCTCTCTCTCCTTTCTCCTTGTCTTTCCTCGTCTCTCCTGGCTCAGCCACCAAACTGTGTGATGTATTAGGCATGGTGCAAAGAGGACCTGGGCCTTTAGAAGGTGAAGTGTCAGCAGCACCGGTCTCTCCATCTCCAGCTGTTGTAAACTCTCTGTCTCCTCAGTGTAAGTAGTAGAATGATCGCTAGGTTTGCAACACTGGACATCACATACAAGAGGGTCTGGCGAAATGTTTTAAAAGGCCTTTTTATTTTATTATTTTCACTTCCGAAAGAAAATATTTTGTGTTTCTTCTGCACCAGAAAGTAAACAATGCTTATTATGCATGGAAATCATTTTTTAAAAAAGCAACCTGGAAGCCAGTCTTCGTGCAGCTGCAGTACAGGTCTGGAAAAGCTAAAGAAGTTTGTTGTGAGAAGGGAATAAAAATTTGGAGGAGCTTTTTTAAAACAGGGATCTAGGGGAATATTGAGAACACTGGCCAAGAACGTAGATTGCCTCCATAGTTACTGAGACACATCTCCTATCCTGTTGTTCCCCCGGACCTATTTTAACAGGCAGCCTGTCCCCTTCGTAATGCGACATACTTTCAGATATTTAAACATGGCTCTCCTGTTGTCTCTTGGCCTTCTTTTCTCCAAGCTGAACAGGCCCAGCTTCATAAGCTGTTCCTTGTGGGTTTTGGCTTCCAACACTCAAAACAGCTACTGGTTGTTAACGTCAAGTTGGGGAAGTGGAATTTAAGACCATGGCAATAGTGTCAAGTTTATGATATTATTTAATACTTCTAAATTCCTAATCCTTGACGCGAGGCACAATTTTACACTGGGAATTCTGTCATTCCATTTTCTGTTTCCATTTTCTAGCATTTCTTCCTCTCCTGCCCTACATCTCATTGCCTTTCCTCCTGTTTTACTTGGTTTCTTTTCTCTCCCTCCTCTCACCCCAGCTGCCAAACTGTCTGATGTATTAGGCATGGTGAAAAGGGGTTCTGGGGCCCCCAGTGCTGAAGAGCCAAAGCCTTGCAGCCCCCTGCTCAGTCTAGCCTCAGGGGTTGCAAATCCAGTTCCTTTCCAGTGTAAGTAATCGGGATCACTTGCGTCTAGGTGGAGTGCCACAAATATTATACAGAATCCAGAAAAGTCTTAACTCCTTTGATTGCTACATAACTACAGATTAAGAAAGACAAATTAGTCTATGGAGGCAGATAATCCCAGTGTGGTTTAGCCACACTATTGTTGTCCCTAATTTAGAGGAATGTATTTATTTATTTATTTACAGTATTTATATTCCGCCCTCTCACCCTGCAGGGGATTAGGGGCGGATTACAACGTACATATACATGGCAAACATTCGATGCCATAGACACACAACATATATAGACAGACACACAGAGGTTATTAAACATTCCAGCTTGTTCATGAGGGTTTTCTGGCCACCAGGGGAGCTGTCACTTCATTGTCCATTGGTGACACTGATGAAGTACTTTCTCATTCTCTGCATGCTTGCTGGAGATTTTTATGGCATTGTAAATTAGCCTCCCCACATAAGCGGTACCCAAATTTCCTACTTGATAGATGCAACTGTCTTTCGGGCTGCAAAGGTTGACAGCAAGCTATACAAATTAGTCGGAAGCTCACTCCAACCCGGGCTGGCTTCGAACGCATGACCTTTTGGTCAGTAGTGATCTTAATGCAGCTGACTCCCAGCTAGCTCCGCCATAGTCCCGGTATTTCAAATAAAAGCTCTATAATGTTGAAGGCTGTCATGGCTGGAATCACTAGGCTGTTGTAAGTTTTGGGTTGTATGATCATGTTCCAGAAGCATTCTCTCCTGACATTTCATCTGCACCTATGGCAGGCATCCCTAGAGGTTGTGAGGTCAGGAGAGAATGTTTCTGGAACATGGCATACAGCCCAAAAAGCTTACACAACACCCCAAAAGCTCTGTAACTTTAATCCTCAGCATATTGGATTTGCTAATATTTTGTTATTTGACTTGTCCATGTTTGGCATGTTTAAAGTCTGCTCTAGACCACTGCTTCTTAAATTGAGGCTCCCAATCCTAAATGGGATCCCCTTCATTGAGTGTTAGAGGCCCTAAAAAAATTGCAACACTTAAATGTTTCTGAACACCACCTAGGCATTTACATGAATCTGTTGTGCAGTGTTTACAGTGGACTGACTCTGCAGAAGATGCTTCAGCTGTACTTCAAAAAAAGGGAAATCATGCCCTGTTGCCCCTAAATTATCCTGATACATTATCTCTTTTCCTTCCTTCTAATTTTATATCCACTCAGTTTCAAAACGTAAGCATTTATTTCAGTTGCAAACTAGGATATAATCTATCAAAAGAGGCCCAGATTTTTAACCACTGTTTCCTACGCCTTGCACTTTTTTCATGTCAGGAGCAACTTGAGAAACTGCAAGTCGCTTCTGGTATGAGAAAATTGGCCGTCTGCAGGAACATTGTCCAGGGAACGCCTGGATGTTTTACCATCCTGTGGGAGGCTTCTGTCATGTTCCTGTAAGGGAAGCTGGAGCTGACAAATGAAAGCGCACCCTGTCTTGTGGATTCAAACTGGCAACCTTCAGCTGGCACTAGAGTTTAACCCATGTTCACCGCAGCTCCATGTCTCGCACTGATTCATTCTTTTAGCCTTTCCTCATTTCCTTTTTGCCATTTCTTTTCTTTTTCATATATTTCTCTTCCTTCTCTCATTTGTCTGACCCCAGCTGCCAAATTCTCTGATGTACTAGGCATGATGAAAAAGGGTTCTGGGCCACCAGAGAGTGAAGAACCAAAGTCCTCAGTCCCCAATCCATGCCTTCCTTCCAACATTGCCAGCATTTTTCCTCCCCAAAGTGAGTAATTTGGGGTTCACTGAGGTTTCATCTTTGCAATTGCCAGACTGGTATTGAAACCTTTGGATGTGTGGGCAACTTGAGGAGATGATCTTCCATTGTCATTCCCTCGAGAAAGATTAATATAGTGAGAATGTTGCATAGAACATCATCCAAACATGGCCTCAGGAACTTTTCTATGTTTTTTTAAATTTATTTATGACATTTATATGCTGCCCTTTTCAACCTGAAGGTGACTCAGAGTGGCTTACAAATTATATGTAAATAAATACAATATATTATATTGTATTGTCAAAGGCTTTAATGGCTGAAATCACTGGGTCGTTGTAGGTTTTTTGGGCTATATGGCCATGTTCTAGAAGCATTCTCTCCTGACGTTTTGCCTGCATCTGTTGAGACCTCACAACCTCTAAGGCGAAACGTCAGGAGAGAATGCTTCTAGAACATGGCCATATAGCCCGAAAAACCTACAACAACCTAATATATTATATTAATAGCATAGTACAATATTAGTACCATACATTTCCATATTTACTACACCACTTATTAGTAATATTACATGTAAAATGAAATATATAATTATTATATTGTATTATTACTATTATATTGTTTTACATTATAATATTATTATCAATATTATATGTGTATACAATATATTATCAGCACAGCACAATATTAGTATTATATATTACTATATTGTACTATACCACTATACTGTAATATTATTAGTAATATTACATGCAATATGAAATATATAACTATTATATTGCATTATTATTATTATTATTATTATTATTATTATTATTATTATATTACATATATATTATATTGTATTACATTTTAAGCCACATGAATCTATTTCAGCTGCTTTCCCCAAACTTCCTAGGCATGGGTGGGCACTGGAAGAAACAAAAAGAAGAGAAAGGTTACCCGACCGTCATTGTTCATTCTGAGAAGAATGCTCATTCCAGTCCAACCAAAGATCTCTTACACTAGTATAATATAGAACTTTACTTATTTTAATTAAAGCATGTCTCACCTTTCGATTCACAAGGACTTTTGAGATGATGCACAATTGTTGGTTCATCAGTGAGAGATTGACTTTTGGTTTTCTCAGTCCCCTTCCTTGGCCTGCCCCCCTTTTCTCCCTGTGTTTCGAATCCCCTCCACAGTTTTGTTGTTCTGTTACTAGTCTCTCTCTGCCTTCTTTCATCTGTTTTACACCAGCTACCAACTTGTCCGATGTCCTAAGCTTGGTGAAAAGGGGCTCTGGAGCCCCAGAAGCTGGGGGGCCACAGCCTGCTCTCACCCCGCTTTTCCCACTTCCACTCATCACAAACCCTCTGCCTTCAGATCGTGAGTAGCCTGTTCTTGGGTGGCTTGCAATTGAGCCCCACTTGTTCAAACCCGGTGCTCTTTCCTACATTGTAGATGTCGAATAACCGAGTGCCTAACAGTGTTGCTGCATGGTTTTACATCCTAATGCATTAATCCCACGAGGGTAATAGGTATGCGGGCTATCAGTGTGCATTAGCAGTACGACACAACTTGATAATCTATTCTGTTCCTAAAGTTCATCTATTTATTTACTATTTATTTATTTACGACATTTATATGCCGCCGGGGTGAGAAGGGTTTTGAAATAGCAACAAAAATAATTTTATGGTTGGGGTTCACCACAACATGAGGAACTGTATTAAGGGGTCACAGCATTAGAAAGGTTGAGATCCACTGCCTTACAGGATGAGGAATCATAAGGTCATAGTATCTCTCTTTCTGCCCTGAGCTACCTTTCCCTTGCTGAGAAAGTGGAAGTCCCTTGTAGTGGTGTTCGTTTACAGAGATGGATGACAGTTTGGCACATTTACAGCGGAAGGGAGACACTGGCAAGGATGAACTGAGATGCCTCGCAAAGAGTGCTAGAGCAGGATATGAAGAGAGGACTTAGTTCAAAGTGGAAGGAAGCATGCCAGCAGGGAAGCTCACAGGTAAGGACTGGCTTTCCCAAAAGGCTAGGGAAAAAGCTTTCATTTCTTTCCTTTCCATCTTCTAAAAGAAAAAGGCAGCTATGTAAAGTTAAAGTCAGAAGAGTGCCTTTCTTCACTGGTCACTGCTTTTTCCAAGACCAAATACTATGAAGTTAATTCTTCACAAGCTCTTTTATCTATAAGTAGGCTAGGTAAAGGACAGCACTCTCCGACTCTTTCATACAGCAGTCTTGTGCATGTTTACTTAGATGCAAGTCCCATTGTATTAAGTGGACTTTGGTAAAGGTTTTCCCCTGACGTGACTGACTCTGGGGATTGGTGCTCATCTCCATTTCTAACCAAAGAGCTGGAGTTGTCTATAGACATCTCCAAGGTCATGTGGCCAGCATTACTGCATGGAGCACTCTCAGTGAGAGAGTGATGAATGCCACAATGCAACCAGATGGTAAAGGTTTTCCCTTGACATTAAGTCTAGTTGTGTCCGACTCTGGGGATTGTGCTCATCTCCATTTCTAAGCTGAAGAGCTGGCGTTGTCTGTAGACATCTCCAAGGTCATGTGGCCGGCATTACTGCATGGAGCACTCTCAGTGAGAGAGTGCTGAATGCCACAAAACAGCCAGATAGTAGGTGGATAGGTAAAGGTTTCCCCTTGACATTAAGTCTAGTCGTGTCTGACTCTAGAGATTGTGCTCATCTCCATTTCTAAGCCAAAGAGCTGGCGTTGTCCATAGACATCTCCAAGGTCATGTGGCCGGCATGACTGCATGGACCACTGTTACCTTACCGACTACTGAACTGCATTCAAGTTGGATAGTTACTTTTAGTAGCTGTGCTCTGGGGTACTATGGGATCCTGGTTAATATTGCCCCTTTGCTTGCCTTCTTGCTTGTTTGAAGAGTTTGCTTGTTGTCTCTCAGCTGCCAAAGCTTCCGTGAAAATGCATGAGTCAGCTTTACTAGGCCTCGATTGGTGCTGTACGGAGTAGCCTGGTGGGCAAAGCTGGGAGAGATTGACCCCCCCCCCCACCTCATCCAACCAGGTCTCCGTTATACACGGAACCATGTGTAACTCTTTCCTCAAGTACATAGGATGGAATAACCCCATTTCTCTTGATTTTGTATCCCTTGGACTCTCATCTCAACTAATATTAAATGGAACTTCCCAATTTACCAGCCATGTTTGAGGCTCTCCAGGCTTTTTGATCATCCAACGGTTTCTGATAATCTCAGATTCCTATAATGTTGGGATCCAAACCCTCTTGATGGGAGATTGGATCTATCCAGGGTACAGTAGGTATGAAATGGATTCTCCAAACCCAATCAGGGCATAAGTTTCCAAAGGAGATGACCTTGCCAAGGATGCTGACGCCATGTCTGCCACTTGAGTGCTGCATTATTCATCGTGTTTGCTCTAACTGGGTCACTTGCAAATTCATGTATCTTCTCAGATCTTCTTGGCATGTTGGCCACAGACGTATGGAGTGATTCAGGACACGTCATCTGGGGAAGCAATGGGCAGCCCCAGGACAGAAGGGAAGCTGTGCCTTTTCTCTGGAGTGTGCTTGTAGCGTGTGAAGAATCAGATATGAGTCTGGTGAAAGCTTCTGGCTTTTTGGCTTCGTAAAGTGTGAGCTTGGAAAAACACTTTGATGGATTATAAATCTTAAAAACAACAACAACAATAATAATTATACTTTATTTATATTCTGCCCTCCCCGAGGGGACTCAGAGCGGATTACAGCATATAAACAGACACAGGCAAACATTCAATGCTTGTTGCAATGAAATATAATGAGACACAAATACACAGACAAAGGCAAAGGCTTCTCCTTTCATTTCTGACTCTGGAGGTGGTGCTCATGTCTGGCTCTGGGGGAGGTGTGCTTGGAGTGTGTGGAGAATTAGATATGAGTCTGATGAAAGCTTCTGACTTTTTGGCTTTGTAAAGTGTGAGCTTGGAAAAACACTTTGATGGATTTAAAATCCTAAAAACAACAACAATAAAGATACTTTATTTATATTCGCCCTACCCGAGGAGACTCAGAGCAGATTACAGCATATAAACAGACACAGGCAAACATTCAATGCCTTGTTACAATGAAATACAATGAGACAAATACACAGGCAAAGGCAAAGGCTTCTCCTTTCATTTCCATCTCTGGAAGCGGCACTCATCTCCGGCTCTGGGGGAGGTGCTCTTCTCCATTTCCAAGCCAAGCTTGAAAATGTGTCCATAGACACTTCCTGGTTGTGTGGCCGCCATAACTGCTTGAAGAGTCTTTTTGCCTTTTCTTGCCAAAGCAATACCTATTGATCTACTCATATTTGCATGTTTTTGTCAGGAGCTAGGGCTAACAGCAGAATATTACAGTATGCAGCAATACCTCAGCAATTCCTATATCATTACGTAGAATCAAAATCCATGATGGTCCAAAACTCCAAGCAGAACACTCGATTATCATGCACCTATTTAACAAACTCTTGCTGAAGAATGGGAAATGCAAGGATAATCAAAGCATTTTATTCTCTACGAAGGCTTTAGGGCACATGGTTCACCAACTGTGGCTTATTCCGCCTCTCTTTTTCTCTCTCTTTTTCCGCCTCCTTCTCGTGGTTCCATTTGCAGCACGCAAGCAAGAAATCATCAAGATCACAGAGCAGCTGATAGAAGCTGTGAATAATGGGGACTTCGAGGCCTATGCGTGAGTAGGCTGTACATGAGATCTCATTGAAATACTTGGCTCCAAACCAAATATTTCATGTAATCCCATTGATTGATGCTTGTAATGCCTTTTGTCAGGGGAAGACAAATCAGGTCATTATGCTACTTGCTTTAAGCCAGTGATGTTGCTTTAAGCCAGTGATGTTGCATATCTACAATATGCTGTAGATATGATTGATATTATGTCATAACAATAGGAAAGAATCTTGCTCTTGATCTGGAAAAATGGTGATTGGGATTGTGCTGGTAAAATGCTACTAGCAAGTGTAATTTGCAATTATTTACCTAGGCTTGTCATCCAAAATTAGTATTGTCCTTAGTGCAGTGTTTCTCAACTTGGGGGTCGTGATGTGGTTTCAGAGGGGTCACCAAAGACCAAAAGAAAACATATATTTTTGATGGTCTTAGGAACCCCTTTGGCAGAGAAGACTGACTTCTTTTGTCCTTCTCTTCCTTTTTGGAAACAGACAGCGAATCCTCCCATGAAAAGCCCTTTTCCATTGTGATTGGCTGGCGTCTCAGCCAAGAAAAGGCTGTTTCTGAGACTCCAAGTGGGAATAGCAGACGTGTTTGGCACAAGGGAGTGTGGTGCGCATATGTGGGCAAGAGAGAGTGTGCGAGGCTGGAGGGAGGCATAGGCCAGCGACTCCCTTCAAGGCATGGGGGTTCTGTGTGGGAAGTTTGGTCCAATTCTATCATTGGTGGGGTTCAGAATGCTCTTTGATTGTAGGTTAACTATAAATCCCATCAACTACAACTCCCAAATGTCAAGGTCTATTTTCCCCAAAATCCACCAGTGTTCACATTTGGGCATATTGAGGATTCATGCCAAAATTGCTCTCAATCCATCATTGCTGTGAGTCCACAGTACTCTCTGGATGTAGGTGAACTACAACTCCAAAACTCAAGGTCAGTGCCCACCAAATCCTTCCAGTATTTTCTGTTGGTCATGTGTGCCAAGTTTGGTTCAACTCCATTGTTGGTGGAGTTCAGAATGCTCTTTGATTGTAGGTGAACTATAAATCGCAGCAACTACAACTCCCAAATGACAAAAATCAACCCCCTTCCCAACCCCACCTGGACTCAAATTTGGGCATATTTATAACACTAGCAAAATTACAGATATAAAGTAGCAAGAAAAATAATGTTATGTTTGGGAGTCACCACATGAGGAACTGGATTAAGGGGGCGTGGCATTAGGAAGGTTAAGAAACACTGCCTTAGTGAATTGTGTCAACCAGCAATAAGAAAAAATATAGAGTCAAAAGACCTCCCCATCAAGTTCCCGAATCACAATCCTCCAGATAAAATAGCAACTCAAGTCCAGCATTTTGACATCCTCAATCTTTATCTTGAAGTGATACATCTCAGCAGATTGTTGGGTCATACTGGTCACTCACTTCTCTGTTAGATTGATATTGTTTCTTCTTGATACATCTCTATTGTGAAAAATAATACCTCAGATTTCTTGGGGCTAGCAGAAGAGAAAGCACAAGTCTCTCCTTATAGATCCACCTTCAAAACAAAACCCTTACAGACATCATCTGAAGGGACCCCTGATAGGTTCACCTGATTGGTTTGCCTGAAGGTCCCCCTGAACATCCTACCTCCCAAGTGAGAGGAGGAGGACACAAGCAAAGAGTAGAAATGCAAGGAAGATGCTGGGGAGAAAGAAAGAGAAGGTTTCCATACCTCCTCAGCTTCACAGGAAAGAACCCCTGATAGATTCTCCTGATGAATTTACCTGAAGGTCTCCCTGAACAACTCACCACCAAAGTGAGAGGAAGATGAGGCACACAAAGGGTGAGAAGGCAACAGTTAGAAGATAGGAAGAAGGATTGGCTGTTCCATGTCTCCTCAGCTTCACCTGAAGGTCCCCCTGATTGGCTCACCTGGCAAATATACCTGAAGGTCCCTCTGAATATTTATTTATTATTTATTATTTACAATATTTATATAGCACTTTTCTCACCCCTGGAGGGACTCAAAGCGGTTTACACAGAAATAGTGGCAAAATTCAACATCTCACTGATTTTGTGAGAAAAGGGAGGTGTATAAAGGGTGGGAAGGCCAAGAGAAGCTGGGAAGAAAGAAACAGGGCGTCTCCATGCCTCCTCAGCTTCACAGGAAGGGCCCCCTGGTAGGTTCACCTGATTGGTTTACCTGAATGTCCCCTTGAACAATGCACCATCAAAGTGAGAGGAGGCCAGCAGAGAGCAGTGACCAAGGAGACTAGATCTCCTTCACCCTTCAGAAAGATCCCTCATATCTCCATCTGTGTTTTTTGCCTGTATAGAAAAATCTGTGATCCAGGCCTAACATCATTTGAACCTGAAGCGCTGGGCAACCTTGTTGAAGGAATGGACTTCCACAGATTTTACTTTGAAAACTGTGAGTACATCTTGTCCTGTAAGAGATGGGAAGGGGGAAAGCCCTTTTGTTAATGAGCAGCACCCCAATTCTCTTTACACAAAAGCCAACTTTCATGAGAAGCAACATCTGGTGCTTAAGATGATCACTTTCTGGTTCTTCTGCTCAACCTTCCCAACATATTTATTGGGAGACAGGAGACAACTTATGTCTTCTCTGGAATTGCCAGTGTCTCCCTAGGGAGGCTTTAGCTGAGGCAGAAAGGTCCTGTCTAGAGGACTTCAATGTGACAGGCTCTTGCCAGCCGATGCACATCTGGAACCATCTCTACATACTCTGAACATACTCTGTTATCCAAAAAATATGGAGTGTATCATAATAAAAACCCCTCAAAGGTAATAAGAATTAGTTGTATGTAGATCCAGTATTGGAATACTTCCTATTACTAAAGAAAGACAGCATGGTGTAGTGACTTGCGTATTGGACGATGACTCCGGGGGGGGGGGGGGGGTTATTCTCTTGGCCATGGAAAAACCACTGAGTTTATTTATTTATTTCATATCAAAAGCATTGCATAAATTAGTATAAAACTGATAAAAATAGAAGGAGCGCAAGCAGCTAAATATCTTTTGACCAAAAACGGGCAACAGCAATGACAGCCTCCAACAATTCTTCTCTGTACATTAGGCAGGGCATAGGGGACAAGCATACATATGCGGAGTTGTCTGTTCTGCTCCACAGTCACACAAGGTGTGGGATTCTTTTTGGTAGTGCCATTTTGCTAGGTTGTCTTTTGGTCTGCCCACTCCACTTCTGAGTCTGTTCAGGGACTTCCAAGTTGCCCATTCTTGGTTTGTCCCTGGAGGGAGACCCTTGTGGGGGGCCATCCAGTTGGGATTTCCTGGTTTAGCTGCCCAGAGGGATACCCTTGCTGTACCTGGGGGGACATCAAGAGAAGAGGTAGTTCTTATAAAGCTTTCCCTTGATTTGAGTCTACTGGGAGGAGGCTGGGAGCCATGCAGTGGGTGGCTTTCCCAGTGTTCAACCTTATTTCACAGTTAGCAGCATCTTCCCATCGCACATTTGGGGGGGGGGGGGCAATGCCAGCTAGCCTGTAGAGTTTATCAACAGGTGTAGGTTTAAGACATCCTGTGATTATTCTGTATGTTTCATTCAATGCTATGTTCACCTGCTTTGCATGGGCAGACCTATGCCAAACAAGGCAGGCATACTCGGCAGTTGAGTAAGACAAGGCCAGGGCTGATGTTCTTACTAATTTTGGGTCTGCACCCCATGTGCTGCCAGTAAGTTTCCAAAGGATGTTACTGCGTGCAGCTATTTTGTGCTTGGTGTTCAAGCGGTGTTTCCTATATGCTAGTGTTCGATCCAAGGTGACACCGAGATATTTAGGATGGAAACAATGTTCAAGCTCTTGATCTTCCCAGGTGACTTTCAATTTCTTGTTGGCTTCACGGTTGCGTAGGTAGAAAGCACACACTTGTGTCTTGGCACTGTGTGACCTTGGGCAAATCATACACAGTCCCAGAAAATCTATAGAATTGTTTACTCTTGTTTTATGTCAGGAGCAATTGAGAAACTGCAAGTCGCTTCTGGTGTAAGAGAATTGGCTGTCTGCAAGGAGGTTGCCCAGGGGACACCTGGATGTTTGATGTTTTACAATCCTGTGGGAGGCTTCTCTCATGTCCCTGCATGGGGAGCTGCAGCTGACAGAGGGAGCTCATCTACGCTCTCCCCTGATTTGAACCTCCGACCTGTCAGTCATCAGGCCTGCTGGCACAACCCATTGCATCACCAGAGGCTCTAATGGCTAACTGAGGAACACCATTATGTCAGAAATTACTTCAAGGCACACAACAAGCACACTACTCAACATTCTGTATGTTGAAAACTAGAGCATGGACACACAAAGAGAGACACTTTCTTACATTCTGTATATTCATATCTTCCATTTCTTTGATTTTTCACTTTGGAAAGATTACTGTCCAATGCTAGTATTTTATAAGGGACAGCAGCCAAGCCCCCATACTACTTTCATCAAACATTTCCCTCCTTCTCCTCCTTAAAATGGCTGCTTTAACTGCCAAAAGGACAACCGACGACTTAGAGCCATGCAGAAGAACATTTGTTTACCTATAGTTATATTAATAAGATGTTTTTCATGGAGAGAGAATCCCAAAGGCAATAAATGGTTCCCTCCCCATCACTACTACAGTTGCTTATCCCATTCTGCACTCATAACTTTCCACTTCATTCGAACCAGCTTTTCTTCCAGAACTCACTCTACTTTCTTGTTTCTGTCAATCCAGTGTTATCTAAGAACAACAAGCCCATCCACACAACTATCCTGAACCCTCATGTGCATGTAATTGGGGAAGACGCCGCCTGCATTGCCTACATCCGCCTGACACAGTATATTGATGGGCAGGGCCGTCCTCGCACATGCCAGTCTGAAGAGACCCGCGTCTGGCACCGCCGTGATGGCAAGTGGCAGAATGTCCACTTCCACTGCTCAGGAGCACCAGTGGCACCACTCCAGTGAAGGTAAGATGAGGCCACAAAATAGCAGAGCTTTCCCGATTCCTAGGGAAGATGGGCTGAGAATAAAGATTTTTTTTAAATTCATGTCAGGAGCGACTTGAGAAACTGCATATACCAAACTAGGAGGGGAGGGGGGGAGTAGGGGGAAGCAGATTGGCTTCCAGTGTCCCAGCTTAAGGTATAGATGTCTCCTAGACCTACTTCCTCTATCTATTATAATCCATGTTACTTTTATAATTGTTAAATTGGATAACATTCTACTTAACATGATTTCTATTTTTCTTTAAACACTATAACTGAAGATCTGCTTCATTTGTCTCCCAAAATATGTCAAAACCGTTGCTAGTCTTGCTTATATTCTCCTGGATTAAATTTTTCAGTCTGCCCATACAACTTGAACAAAAACCCAATTTTCTGCTTATGGGATCTCCTCAGTTTTCCACTATTGTGGAAATACAAGCATCGCACAACTTCGCAGTTCACTTCAACGTACGTCGGTTTTCCTTGAACAAAAATCCTTGAGTTGTAAGGTGAAAGCCTTACAACTTATTTTTCCATTTTGTGTGCAGGTTAAGAGGGATGGATGGATGAGTGGTAAGAATAATTTGGGGTAGTTTTGTTTAGCTAGTCTTGCTCAAAGTTGTTTCATAGAATTATAGAATCCTAGAGTTGGAAGAGACTGTGGGCAATCCAGTCCAACCCCTGTCAAGAAACAGGAAAATCACATTCAAAGCACCTCTGACAGATGGCCATCCAGCCTCTGCTTAAAAGCCTCCAAAGGAGCCTCCACTCACTCCAGGGCAGAGAATGCCACTGCTGAACAGCTCTCACAGTTAGAAAGTTCTTCTTAATGTTCAGATGGAATCTCCTTTCCAGTAGTTTGAAGCCACTGTTCTGTGTCCTAGTCTCAAGGGCAGAAACAAGCTTGTTTCCTCCTCCCTATGACTTCCCCTCACATATTTATAAATGGCCCTCATGTCTCCTCTCAGCCTTCTCTACTGCAGGCTAAACATGTCCAGTTCTTTAAGCCTCTCCTCATACGGCTTGTTCTCCAGACCCTTGATCAGTTTAGTCACCCTTCTATGGACACATTCCAGCTTGTCAACATCTCCCTTCAATTGTGGTGCCCATAATTGGCTTCACTTCACTTCACTTCACTTTATTTCTTAATTAGTCGCTCTCCACCAAGGTGCTCCGAGTGACTTACAATCTAAAATAGCATTTACACAATATAAAAACATACAGTATAAAAGCATTCAACAGTGACTATTTGGATCGAGGTGACCACTGATGGAGAAAAGGAATGAGGCGGTCCCTAAGATATAAAAGTCCTTGGCCATTTTGAGCTCTAAATGTCAGGATCAGTATCTTGTAAGAGATCCGATGTTCTATTGGTAGCCCAATGCAGTTGTTGCAGAATTGGTGTGATATGGGATCTTATAGATGATCCCACTAGCAGCCTGGCCACTGCATTTTGGACTATCCGAATCTTCTGGGTTGTTAACTTCGGAAGGCCAGCATATAAGGCGCTGCAATAGTCCAACCTCATGGTGACTATTGCGTGGATTACTGTTGCCAGTGCTTCTACCGAAAGGTAGGATGCCAATTTCCTTGCCTGGCATTGTCTGACCAAGGCAAAATAGAGGGGAAGCATGACTTTCCTCTATATAGACACTATACTCCTATTTATGCAGGCCAAAATCCCATTGGCTTTTAAAGCTGCCGCATCACATTGTTGGCTCATGTTCACCTTCCCATCCACAAGGACTCCAAGATCTTTTTTACATATACTGTTGTCGAACTAGACACCCCCCATTCTGTGTCTTTGCACTTTATTTTTTCTGCCTAAGTGGAATATCTTGCATTTGTCCCTGTTGAGGGACAAATGTCGTCTTTGAGCTGTAAGGTGGAAGCCATTTTTTCTGTTTTGTGTGCAAGTTAAGAGGGATGGATGGAAGAGTGGTTAGAATAGTATGGGGTAGTTTCATTTAGTTTTGCTCATAGTTGTTTCGTTTAGTGTCATTTGATTGTTGTACTTGTTTAAAAATAAAGACAATTTAAAAACCTGAAGAACATAAGTCAGCTTAGAGCGGCACCAGTGCAATGATACCAGGGTTGTTTTTGCCTTTTTAGCGATGTGAAAATCATTTGGGACTTCTGTATGAATAGTTTCCCTTGTCCACAGGAAAAGCCCAGGATGAGCTCCAGTTTTCCCAGGTGATCAATCACAGCATTCCCCCTTCCTTCTTGTGTCTTTCAGAACTCATGCTGGCTGTTCTGGCTTCTTACCGAAGGAGACGGTGATTTGAGCGGAGCCGCTAGCCAGGAGCCGCGGTGACAAGCACGTGCCCGCATGCTCGTGTCCCCCCTTCCCATCTCCCCCCGTTTCATTTCCAGTGCCTGTGTTTGCAAAAAGAAAAAGAAAAAAACACATAAGACAAAAAAAATATCCAACCAGACTCAATTCTAAAAAAAAATAAACAAAAATAAAAAACAAATCAGCAAACCCAGCCAAACCAACCCAGCTGTCCAATTCGCAGCGTGGCCGCACTACGCCTCCCATCCCCACCAACCTCCATTTCTTTGTGTCCGTCCGTCTGGCTGTTCAGGTGACCAGGTGTTGCAATGAAAATGTCTCAACTTCAAACAAACAAACAAACAAGCAAAGGCTCCACCTTCCTGTGTCGACCCCAGTGTTGAACGGTGTTAGTTTGTTAGGTGAAAAATGCATATATATATACATATATATATATATATAAAATATAAAAACAAAACAAAAAAAACCCACAAAAAACTTTTACAGTATTTGCATTCTCTGCCAAAGCATGGGCCTTCTCCAGTGGTTGTGTTCGCGCTTGGAAGTCTGTGACCTGTGTTACTCTTTGTTTTTCTTTTTTCTTTTTGTGGAGGATGCTCTTCCTGAGCTCTCGGGCTGATCATTTCTTCTCTCCTCTAGCTGTGGTTGTGGATTATGATGATTACAATTATTCAGACTCTTTTTATGTTTGTTCTTCTTCTTCTTTTTTTTTTGGATGGGAGATTACCCTGTTTCTGGAGGAGGGGCCCCTGCTTTCTGGGCCTCTCCCATGCTAACCCACTGCCGGTAGTTTCCCGGTGAGCTCTCGGCCATGGCCAGACTGACGGGTTCTTACATGAAGGGTAGCATATAGCCTTAGAGATCGAATTAGATCTCACGACAGGTTTTTTGAATTTCTGGATTCTCATTTACGCTCACATTTCCAAGCATCTCAACCCTGACTTCATGTCAAGGGCTTTCCAAGAGCAGTGTTGTCATGCCTGGGCTCCTGCCATTGTTTTCTGATCACCGTGGGTGGAGTGGGCAACCTCTGTTGAATTGGGTTGGCTTGGGGAGTCTTGACAGTTGGGTGAGGAGGCCTGACTTTGCTAAGCCATGTCCTCTCTGATGCCTCCTGAGTCAGAAAGGAGCTGAGGGCGCCTCGTCCTTAGGGATCCTGTCTTCATCTGTCCCTTGGTCCTCCAAACCCAGCTCAACTTTATTCTAGGCTTTCTCCTTAAGCCGAAATGATGTTACTGTAAAAGAGGAAAGGGAGCCAGGGAAAAAGTCAGTGTTACTTTCCACTGGAAGGAGGGCTGGACAGTTGTGCTTGTGCTTGCCATTCTCCTCTCTCTTTTTCTCTCTCTCTTTCTCATGGGCTCACTTTCATTGAGAGGGAGTTGACTGGCAAAGGCTCTGTTGAAATTCCTCTTGATAGAGTGGAAACCATTTCAGGTAGCTGCAGCTTTGTGAATTGACTCTTCAGGCAGCTCTAAATATGCTAGGCTAAAAGTAGCCATTCTCCTCCTTTAAGGGAAAGAGATGCTAGAGGTTCTTCTCTTGTTTCCGTCGTTGCCTTGTGCAGAAGCAGTGTGAGCATCCCCCATTACCACCCACAGCTCTACCAGCTCCCAAAGGAAGGCAAGTATTAGCCACTGTTCCTTGCATAAGAGGCAGCTGACATTTCCTAAGAAAGCTGCAAAATGTTATCGCAGGAGGTCCCTCCTTTCCCCTCTTCAGATTTATTTACAAAGGAGGCCCCTTGCCATCTGCTTAGCAACTCATTGCCTCAAGTTCTACTGTCTAGATGGAAGCTTGGGGTGTTTTAAGTCAGTATCCTTGACCCATAGTCAGCAAGGAAGTTTAATTTTTCTGTCAAGAGCAAATTGAGAAACTGCATGTCGCTTCTGGGGTGAGAAAATTGGCCATCTGAAAGGACGTTGCCCAGGGGACACCTGGATGTTTGATATTTTACCATCTTTGTGGGAGGCTTCTCTCATGTTCCTGCATAGGGAGCTGGAGCTGATAGAGGGAGTTCAACCCACTCTCCACAGATTCAAACTGCTGATCTATCAGTCAGCAGTCCTGCCAGCACAAGGGTTTAACCCATTGCACCACTGCAGGCTCCTAAAGTTCAGTTCATTGTAGCCCATATATTTCTTCTCTTATCCCCAGGTAGTATGGCATCAGCTTATTTCTTTGATCAATGCAGCATCATCAAACAAGCTAATGGTCCGTTCTGTGAATTCTGATCATTGTAAAACAATTCTGTCATTGTAAAAGGAAAGATGACAAAAACATAGGCAACTTTATGTTGCCATCCTATACCAGTTGACATGGGAGTATTGAACTTAGCAAATCTGACTTCTGGGCTGTTAAGTAACAGAAAAGAAAAGCAGCGGGATGGTATGTGTTTAGAGTTAGGCAATGTTCCGAGGTTTTAATGCCATGCCTTCCCTCACACCATACAAAACATATCATCGGGCAAGCTGTGTTGCCTCTGCTTGGATAGAAGGCCACAGTGCAATCTGTTTGGGTTTTTGAACAGAAGCTTTTGAACAGAAGCTTTTGGGCTTTTGAACAGAAAAGGGATCCTTTTAGATGGTATTGCAGCAAGCTAAACTGAAAAGGGGTCTTCCATACTATTTGCGATCTGTGTCACTTCCCACCTTGCTTCACTTTGACACATTTAGTTGTCTCCACATCCGCAGTTAAGTAGACTCCCTCAAACTGTCCAGATGAAACTTAGAAGTTTTGCAGGTAAGATAAGAATTTTTTTTCTAATCACCCCTACTCCACCTCCAAGATGGTTCTTTAAAGATCTAAAGAGTTCTCACCTTATGATCATACTGCCTCCACTTCAAGGCTCATAAAATGACATTATTATTATTATTATTATTATTATTATTATTATTATTATTATCATAATTGAAACACAACAAGATGAGTCCACAGCAGACACTCTGCTGGCTGTTGTATTGGATCACAGGTCGGACACTTCCCAAGTCATTATTATTATTATTATTATTATTATTATTATTATATTTTATATTTTGTTCATTTATATCACACCTTTTTCTCAGTAATGGTACTCAAGGCAGCTAACAGCATATTTTAAAAAATCAAGTTAAAAACAATTCTAAAATCAGAATAAACCTATAAATATACAATTTAAAACAGTTTTCAATTTAAACATTTAAAAATGTGTGTTAAAAATGACATTAAAACTTCTAAAAATAATCCAAAAGCTCTGTACAGCTCAACGTCCATCAGTTTGGAAATACCTGGTGGAACAAATGTTTTACCTGCTGCTGAAAAGAAAGCAAGGTTGGGGCCATTCTAGCTTCCAAGTCTGGGAGGAGTAATTGAGAAAGAAGGCCCTTTCCCCAAGAAAGGGACAGAGAGAGAGGACTTTCCAGACAATCTTAGTGCCCTAATTGGCTTATAAAGAAGTAAGTGTGTTTAATTAGACTTCCATGTATATATGAAGGCAGGAGCAATATCTTTAGCACACAAGGATCTGTATTGTGAACTTGTATATCTCTTGTCTCTAGAGATCACTGATTGCTTGAGATAAACTTATCTCAAAACCAGAGACATTCCTGCTTCTGGGGTGGGGGGCAGAGGCAGTATGTGGTGAAATGTATTGCAAGATTGATTCTATTACTATTAGTCTATGAAGAGAAAAATGTCCATGTGAATTTTCCTGCATAGACAATTGAAATATGACCATCCTTATGGTCTTTGTGATTTTATCCTAAGGTGTTTGCATCACACACATTTTGCATTATTGCAGTTCACTTGCCAAGAGGGATGGAGATTAGCATGACAGTTAGAAATGTGGTAAAGAGAACATGTACCAGCATACTCTTGGCCCATGCTTGCTTTTACTATTCCTGCAAATAGTTGTTGCCGAATTAAAATATCAGACTGCCACATATCATACATTCCAAGGAAGAAGATGACAGGATCAATATAGGAGGCAGGGTTCTTGCATGCATGTCTACCAGAAGAGGTGCATTTTTAAGGAGGTACATGTGGTTGCACTTCCTGTTTGCTTACCGCCTTGGTGGTAAGCAAACAGGAAGTGCAACCAGAAGTACCTCCTTAAAAATGCACCTCTTCTGGTAGACATGCATGCATGCAATCCCACTGAAAAAGAATGGCCATCTATTGCTCTTTGTCACCACTCATGTCATGGTGTTAATATGATAGGATTGTAGAACCAACCCTCACTTTAAATATCCATTCTTACCATCATTGTATTTCTATCAGTTTCAATTTAAAGGAAATGAGAGTTTCATGTTTGTCTGAGTACATGACAGATTTACTGTTCATATGGAGCAAAGTGCAACAGAATACATTGCCAAAGCATGTTATGTGTTTCCTTCTTCAAGTCTGGCTTTGGTGAAAGTTCATTGCTTTAGCTGCAGAGCTTCTAGAATCACTTAATCTTGAATATTGTGTCACTCCACCCTACAAGTTTCAATGTGTCTAAGAGTGTGAAAGAAGCTTTAGTGGACTCTTTAACAGGTGAACCTAGTTGGCAGCTCCAACAATAGATTTTGGATTGAGTCACATACTACTAAGCAGTCTTCCATTGTTATTATTATGACCATCCTTTGGCAAACCATTCTGATTTTCAAGATAATCTTTACACCATTTTATTGTGGAGTAGCTTCCACACCCCATGCTTTTTGATGTCATAACAGTTTCCTGTTTTGCTTGGAACCAGAACCAGTGATAGACGGACTGCGTCTATAGTCTCTTCCAGGGAGTAGTATACATTTAAAGAATACGTATGTCCGAACATATAGTTCTACTACAGTTGCAAGATTGACAATGGATGAGCTAAGCCCCTCAAGCAAAGGAGCCATTTATTTATTATTATTTATTTCATACAAAGGCGGACTCATTTCCTGCCAAAAGGGCAACACATGTTTAAACCCAGTTGGGTCACTGCTGATATTTCTCTGCATTGACAATTGCCAATCCAGTGCCACAATAGAGGTAACAAAACCATAAAGATCAGGCATATTCAGTTGACCCTCTGTCCAAGTAAATAATCATAGTTCAGTAATGCAAGACTGAGTAAGTCCAAGGAATGTCCTCTTAATTCCATTTGAGTGTCATGTTTTATTTAGGGCTTTAAATTTTGCCATACATGACATTTATATAGATATTGTTATCTGCAGACATTTCCACATGCAATAAGCAAGTACAAATGTGATATCTCTCCATTCTAGTTCGCCCTAAAAACATGTGTCCAAAAGAAAAGAGAGTCTCTGCGCCGATTTAATAAAGATTGAATTTATAGTGCTGATTTTAAAAAGATTCAGGTGAACAGCATAGTCAAGCAAAGAGACTGAAAGGACCCACTTCTTTGCAGTCACTGCAGGCCACAGTTTCAACTAAACTTGGGGAAACTGCAACTTGTTCTAATTATGGTGAGTTCAAACAAACTACTATCCATAGTTAGAAGAAGTTTCTTAAGCAGGAATGGAAGAGGCTCATTGCGGTTTCCTGGTTCATCTGAAGCAGGCCCTTTTTTTCATTGGTTAGGGCTTTAAT